TCCTCAAGCCTCAGACTTCTGCATGGTTGTGTTGATAACTGTGTATGTATCCCAAAGTTTCGCACTTCTGGTCCTTGGTTGTGTGTTGATAACTGTGTTTGTCCTCAAGTATCGCACTCTTTGTCCTTGGTTTTATGTTGATTATTCCATCTTTACCCTCAAGTATCGCACTCCTTGTCCTTGGTTGTATGTTGATTATTGTATTACTACCCTCAAGTATCGCACTCCTTGTCCTTGGTTGTATGTTGATTATTGTATTATTACCCTCAGGTGTCACACTTCTGGTCCTTTGTTGTGTGTTGATAACTGTGTTTGTCCTCAAGTATCGCACTCCCTGTCCTTGGTTGTATGTTGATTATTGTATTATTACCCTCAAGTGTCACACTTCTGGTCCTTTGTTATGCGTTGATTATTGCGTCTTTATCCTCTGGTCTTGGTTTTGTGTTGATAATTGTAACGTTATCCCCAGGTTCTGGTCCTCGGTTGTGTAGAGATTGCCCGACGCCGCCACAAGCGTCAGGCAGGTGAAGGATCTTTTTCTCCAAGGTGCAAAACTAAGGTTTGAAAGCTAGCCAGCTTAATTTTGTGCAAGCTGATTTACATCGAAATTTGTTACCTTCGTTTTAACAATCAAAGTTAGCAGAAGAAAAAATCATATTACTGATACAAAATATTGATGTTTACTATTTCTGCAAATTCTATACTACTGGGTCAGCCAATGTCACGATTAAAGCTTCGTGCTTTTTCCTTGGAATGTTCTATTGAATGGGTGTAATATCCTGAGCATAAGAATTTTTGTTTAAAATTAACATATCAAATATGGGCAGATAACGCTTTAAGCAATGGATTTGCTATGTTTTCAATCTTATTTTATTTCCGGCTTTATCCCACATGTGGACTAGTTTAATTAATCATCACTATCATAATCATGATAAACAAAAAGCCAGTAAATAACTTGCAAGTGATGCTGGGAATGAAGATAGAAGTAACATCACATATTTATAAAGATTTAAATTAATCAAAATGGAATAGACCAAAACTTCGTAAGAGAAAACTGGCTTAATGTACGAATGGATGATAATTCTGGCGATTCATATGTGTACATTTATAAATGTGGTAGTGATGCATGTGTAAGCATGTATATCTATCATAACAATTAACAATTTCTTGTAAATAATTTCCGTGTACATTTTTCTAAAGATAATTTATAGTTTTTCATTCCAAGACATTAAATGAAAATTTTATCTTCAGACATATATTTAGTATTTTTTTTCAATATACTGAATATAGACATCCTCTTCAACAAGGGAAATTGTGTACACTTTTCTTTATCATGATAATCTTTTGTCGACATTTGGTTAACTTTTCTGGTTGCCTTGCATCTTATACAGTACACAACATTGTGGTGACCTTTATATGTCCTTACTTCTTTTATTAAGTTTTTGAAAACATTGTTATTTGTCTTCAAAATTCTGAGAGAAAAAATAATTAGTAAAATACGAGGGGTTATCAAAAAGTTCGTGGACTAGCGTCATAAAATTAAAACCGCTTTAGGTACATCAATGAATTTTAATACATTTAGTTAGCATCATCTTTTCTATCGATAGAATAAACCATAAATCATAAGTCTTATTTTTTTAATAAATTGTTATTGCTTTTGTAAGCAATGGTATATCCAAGCGGCGCAACCTCAAATATGAAGTTTTTTCTACCTGAGTGTAACTGAGAAAAACTCTTTTGATATGAGCATTTGTCGTCAAAAAATCTCGTTAATTCAGGCACGTGGTACGACACATTTGTTCAGTAAAATTAGCAGTTTTTACCCCATTCTGTATTTTCTATGAAATTTTATCGTAAATTTTATATGGAGTATCCAAACAATTATGGGCTTGAAAATAACGTCAAAAGGAGAAGGGGTTTCTTTTTCAAAGACTCTATAGAGTTTCGCTCCTGGAAAAACTGGTATTGACCTAAGGAATGTTAAACCTGGCTACAGAAAAATAAAATGCATCCAGAGTACTTGTTTTTTAATGCCCAAAAAGATTCAGAGAGATGAAATATGCACAGTTAGTGTTGATTTGTAGTCAGGGTGTCAAAAGTCAGTCACGTCGAAAAGTGACGTTGATCATGTGTGGTAGAAATTGAACTCCAACAAGCTAAGTATTCTGGCATAATCAAGTGAGGATCTTTCCCCATATAAAGATCCATTTACAATATTATTTGCATTGAAAACAGCTGCTCATGACATTTTAAATTCATATAAATAAGACGGGTTTAAGTCCTTACTTAACTCCAGGTAATCTCATCAAGATAAGTGTATGATGTAGAGAGAGCGGACATTAAGAAACAATGACGTTAAGCGGACGTCATGACACTAAACGGCGACAGCGCCGGGTGATCACATAAAGTCTTTTTAATTTCAGAATAATTTGGCAAATTATCAACGTATCAAGCTAAAATTTTCAACATTTCTTAAACTTTTGTTGTTTTATGTTCCGCATAAATTTTGTAAGCAAAGACTACATATTATTAATTTTATCGCGTCAGTCCACGAACTTTTTGATAACCCCTCGTAATCATTCATAAAAGAACACACAGAAATTCAGATTCCATTAAGATATTCCTTTCTTTAAATTATAACAATTGGTATTAAGTAGTTATATTTTCAGCTGTTGACAAAAACTTTGTTCACTTTCCATTCTTCTGACGAGTCTCAAACAAGTTAAACTTTTAGAAAAAGGTCATGATGTTTTGTACAAATTCTTCAAAATGTATGGCAATAAAATACAAACTCCCCCCCCCCCCCCCCCGCCAATTGGACGGAAATGTTTACCACTTATTATGCTTTAAGTTCTATAAATATTGATTGCTTTAGTCAGGCAAGGTTTTTGAAAAGCTATTACTTGTTACAGCTGACTTGTTTCAGGTGTTACATTTCTGGTCGTCGGTTGTGTGTTGATTACTCTGTCGGGAGCTTTATTCTTCACAAGTGTCATAATCTGTATAAAGGCCAAAAAGATCAGAAAAGGTAAGTTGACATTGATTTTTTTTTTTTACAATTACTTCTAGAATAATATCTTAAGTACAAGAAAACATACACATGCATTTGGGGATAATGATGTTTGTATATGAATCATGTCTGTATATGTTTTCTTTTGATATTTTACAATCGATAGTCACATTGTATGTTTTCTTTCTTTGATATTTTGCAGAGGCAGAAATGGTATCGATAAGGTAAGTTGAAGTTTCTTGTATTTTCTTTTCTGAATCCAGAAGAAGACATTAGAGAGGATAATAGAATATTCTTTACTTGTAGGAACACTTACGATAGAGTTACTTTCAATGCAATACCAGCCTCCACTTACTCTTCTCTTCGTAAGTATGAGAGAGAGAGAGAGAGAGAGAGAGACGAAGAGGGAGAGAGAGAGAGTACAGTAGTGTTAAAAGTGTATTTTCAATCTTTAAGGATTAACTCAAGAAAATATACCTGTTCTCCAAGTTAAAAGGATTCTTTTGTGATTAGAATCCTCAAACTTGATAAGGTAATAACTGGAAACTACTTACATTGGTATTTCAATAATCTCAAATGTTGGCAATAATATCAGGTCTAATTGACATTCAAAGCACAATCATTGTTATTCTAGTTAAACTAAAATTGTTAGATTTTCAAATTCTACGATCTTTTCCCGATTTCAGATAATTTAACAACTACTTATCACCGCTCTCTAGAAAAACAAGACAGTGACGGTTATGTGGAGCCAAAGACTTTTACATGACGCAAGTGGGGCATTTGTGAAAAAAAAAAACTGAAACTAGATACATTGTATATGCAGCATCGTCCTTGACAGCTTTTGATTTATTTATTTTTCTACAATATAAAGCTTACATGAGACCAGCTCTTTTTTGTCAACATATGTATTTTTGGTCCTTGCTGACTCTGATAAGACTTCGCCAAAAGCGAAGAATTTATACATTTCAAATTACAACCAAGGAACCGGTTTTGTTTCCTTGTGAAAAAAAATGATCAAGATCTTTTTACTCAAACATCTTTTTTTCAATTTTTTTTGTGAATATTATATTTGGATACGATAAGAAAATTTCAAATTAATTCCTATGAAAAGAGAATGCTTTCTGATCAACACCCCATCCTCTCTCTCTATATATTTATAGAGAGAAAGAGAGAGGTGTATATAAATTCTTTCCAAAAGTCTATTTTAAGCCCTGATAGTTGTTTCATTTAAATACAGAAAATGGAAACTAATATTCCACTCGAAAAACTGGTTCACAGAAAAAATCCCTGTCCATCCGAACAAAAAGAATGATTTTATAATATATATCAGTACGTGTTAATGACAAAACAGCGTATCTCTGTCACACTCAATACTGATACATGTATTTGATTCATACTCAGTGGTACGTAATACTTACTGTCATCCGGCCACTCACTGATGACGATTGACCGGTCACCCTGGACCTCGTAACTCTCGTATCCTGAATGATGTTACCCTCTCTATTTACTATCTTATAATTGTCATTTTTGTGTTAAAATGTTGGAAGTTTTCTTACTTATTCTTCTAACTGTACCAGGTAAAGTCGTATTTCTTTTGAATTGCCAATATCTTATTAGAGTTGTAAGCATTTTACCAAAATGGTAAGGGGCATCGATTATATGAAATAAAGTCAACTTTTTGAACTTGAAAAACTCGATCTTTTTAAGAACGACTAATCAGTCACCCTGCTTAGTTTATCGAGGTACATATTATATGTATTCATACTTAGTGAATTTACAGCTTTCTGTAGAATTGTTAACAAACTGGTTAACCTTTGTCTTGTTTACAACTGTGTTGTTACTAAAGACGGACGAGTGAGTTAAGTTAGAAAAAAAATACATATATGGTTAAACTAATTTTAAAATGCAATTAAAAGTATATCTTGTGAAAATATTTAACATATAAAAAAATTTTAATTACTAGTACAAAGCTTAATATGCTTTACAAAATATGACAGGAGAATCACAAGTAGCTCAAATCGAGGCACCAACGACAATAAATCTTGCAAATGAACTCAGAGTGAAATGTTCGCCATCAGGAAATGAGTTTAACTTTATAAGCGAAATCCAAATACTGCATAAGCCTGTGACAGGGTCGACATACAGCACAATACTGGAAGTGGAGGATCCGCCCAGGGGTAGCAATCCTGTCTTCAGAGTTGGTAATGGTTTACTTAAAAAATACATAATTCAAATGTTCTTGTTTTAAAATCTAATTTAAACTATAGCCTTTATAGCAGGTTTGTACTCTTTAGTATAAATTTGAAAGTACCTTTTAGCATTAATTTACGAGAAAGAGGATGCGGAGGGGGCTTGCCCCCTCCTGTTGGTGGGGGTCTCACAAAGAAATTTTCAAATTTAAATTTTTTTTTAAAAATCCTGCGTTTCTAGAGAATTTTGAGGTGTATAAATGGAAAGAAACTGGGGGGATAAGCCGAGCCATATGCCTACATAACGATCGATAAAAAACAGTAAATTCATTTTTAAGAAATTTCACTTTTTCTTGAATTAGTGTAATGCTAATTCCCATTTGGATACAAATTTGACAAAACCTGAATATTGTAACAGCAAAAATGATTCTGATTAACACAAAAAAATGGCATCACGCTCAATTTTCACAAAAACTGACATAAATTGAATGATATAACTACATTTTTTAAATAGAGTGGGTCATCGTACCATTTTTTTTAGAACGATTAATGAAAGGCAATGGAAAGATGTTGCTTTTTACACTTGCAAAAATTTGGTACGAAGACCCACTCTACATTAAAAATTAAGTTAACTTACTTAAATTTTCACCGTGGTCTTAAAAAATTCTAAGTCCAAATACGCTTGCTAAATAAAGAGAACTGTATGCTATTTAAATGGGTATGTATGTGTGACTCCGTGGTATAGTGGTTAGCGAGGAGCTATTTAAAGGGACGTTTATTGAGGAAAGTGTTCGAGTCATGATTTTTTTTATTTTTGGGGGAGGGGGTTAATTTTGTTTTACTTTATAAAAAATGTCTATAGGAATAACATATTTTTCACTGGAAATAATATATATATGTAGTAATGAACTCATTTACAGTAAATTATTTAGAATGCCTGATAAAAATTATAATAGATATTTGAATACTTTTATTCCCGTTTTTATTTATTTTTACTACAAGTGCTTCTAGATCACCACTATCATTATATACAATGTTAACATTTTATAATATCTCCACTATAAGTGTTAACACTCAATATGCAGATTAATTAATAGAAGTCCCTACCCATGTTAGACACTTGTGACAGTAAATGAAAGTCAACTGTTTAGCTTGTTTAGAATATAAATATCATTTTGAGAACTACTGCAAACATTAAAATGCTTAAGTAAATTCGAACAATTGAGAGATTTTGTCCAATAAATGTTCTTGCATAGCCGAAAAATGGGCATGGGCACATGGCTCGTCTTATTCCCCCAGATTCTTTAATGACAAAGATTTAGCTTGAACCGTGAGTTGAAGTTTTATTCTCTCAGTACAATGATCTTTTTGAGTTGGGAAGTACTGTATGTACCTACTGATTCCAGATGAGGTAAGAGTCAGAGCGTCAGCTGAGGGTCGGGCGGGGCGACCTTCGGATGCGTTCCTAACGCTTATCATCAATCAAGGTCAGGTCTACTGTTCAGATGGCGGATCATACCAGTGCAAGATAGTAAACCGCAGCGGTGACAATGTGTCGACAACAATCACATCCACATCTGTACCTGTCACCATAGTGGGTAAGGCAATGTTCTAAATAATGTCGTCTTAGGAAGTCAGCTACAAAAAATGTGTTCAAATCAAATCAATCTGTTTAGATAAAAAAAATATGCATGTTACTTGTATCTCTGTTAATTTTTTCTTCTTCCAGCTAGTCCAGACTCTACACCACCTATTTTAACTCTCAGCCCCTCCAACATTCCAGGGACAGGGGGGTCAGGGTCGATGTACTTAAAGGGAACCACCGTCATGTTAGTCTGCCAAGCAGAAGTTGGTAAGCAATTTTTTTTATCCTTAAAAGGCTAAGATTTCAATTATTTTGGTATTAAATAGTGTCTCGAACGAGTTTAAATTGTGAGCATGGGAAATATTTTTCACCTCATGTATTTTTAACTATCTATTTATATGTATACAAGACAAATACCAGTACATGTGTATACTTCTTATAAAATGTGCAAATAAAATATTTAAGCAAGCAGCTTACAGTTTCACTTTATTGTCCTTACTAGGTAGTCCACCTTACCCAATGAGATTCTGCTACCAGACCGCAGGAGTGAGTACTTTTGAAACTGTAACAAACATTGTCTCAAATGTTACCACCCCACAGTCTCTGGAATCGGAGAAGAGTTGTCTTATGACGAGAACCATAGTTGCCTCCGCCGAGATTACCGACAACGCTGGGACATTCTTCTGTGAAGTGCATAATACTGTAAGCGATCCTGGATGTGGAAGCAATTTGAAGGTCTCGAACACCATGTTCACTGCTCAAGATTTACCAGGTATATTACTTATTCTTTTTAATTATTAGAACGTAATTGGAATATACACAAACTTCAAAAAAATATCATGTATACCTGTAGTAATTCTCTTTGTGCAATTGAAAAACCACTCCGTTTTTATCTTACCCTATGATGTGTTTTTCCAATCTCAAATGTTAATTTAGAGTAACCAGGAAATTATGAATGATTTTGAAGAACAAATATATTTAGGTACTAAGTTTTAAATGCCTGTACGTACAAAGTAAAGGTTCTGGTCTGTTCAAGGAAAATTAGCGGAAAATCACACGATGCATCTTTGACAAATATCATGTCAAAAATATAGATTGGTTTTATTATTAGATTAATAAAAGTCATGGGGGATTTTGCATATACATGTATTGTTTTTATCATATATTAGAATAACATGTGTAATTAAAAACTAATTTCCAGTATGCAATTCGAGCACTCTCATCACCACGAGCAGACCTTCCACCACCACCAGGACCACATCAACGACAATAGCACCACCAGCAACAGATGCTCCAACAACAACAGCTGCCCCTATCGAGGGTAACGTAGAGGTCTTAGCAGTCACTGACAATGGAGGTTCGTTTTTATTTTATAGACTGCAAAAATTCAAACGAATAAAAAATATCGACCAACAAGTCAAAGATATGTTGTTGGGTTTTTTTGGAAGCAGTACATATTCAACTATTTGAAATGCGACTTGGCATTTTCATCCATTTAGTAAATTTATGGTATCAAACTTTTATTTAAAGACATCTGTGTATAATTGTAAGAAAAGAAAGAAATGCATATTAAACTATTTGATGAAATTCCACTTAGAATTGATGTACCGGAATTATTAGTTATTTACCCGACACTGCAATAGTCACAAGTGACAATTTCATGTCATTTCTTAATAAAGGTAAAAAATGTTGCTCGCATTATACCTTCTCTATTGCTGTAAAAAGCTTCTAGTCGCAAATACTCCTTTACACATGTAGTCAATCAATATCTATCCTGAGTCATTTAACTCATTTTACATGGACATGCTAAATATTGATATCGTGATATCACTTATTTTCGTGATCATTAATTTTGTTCAAAAAAATTTTATTTTTATTATTATTATTATTATTATTATTATTATTATTATTATTTGGTTTTCCTGCATGGTAGAAGAGATCCGCGAATTTATGTCCTCCAGGAAATGATAAAATTTTAATCGTATCAGGACAACTTTACTTACCCTCAACCACGACATTAAATCCCCACGAACCAAATTATTTTTCTCCAACCACGAAAATAAATGAGCACACAGTACTTTGTACATATTCGTGGAACTTGACTTCATGAGTCTTATTCACTGTTAAGTCCTCAGAGTTCGTACAGTTACTTGCGTGCTTTCATTTTGTTTGTGTGCTAGTTTTGTTTGCTAGTCATTTTGTTTGTGTGCTAGTTGTTTTTATAAAGGCCACATGTTTGTTCTTTTTATTTTCTGGTTTCACTTTATTCTTCAAGGTTAACACGTTGTTTGCTAATTTTGAGATGTTTAGGTTTATAATTTGATTTCTATGAAATACTAGTAATCGGTTTGTTTTTCAATCTTTAGGATTCACTCTTCTACTATTGGGAAGTGGACTGATCGTCGTGTCAGGAGCTCTTTTTGCAGCGAGTTTGATTATCTTCATGAAGGCGAAAAAACTTAAAAAGAGTAAGCTTTAGTGAATAGAGAATTTTAAAAGATATTTCGAAAAGTTTGTTATTTTTTTTAAAGAATGTATTTACGAGTGAAATTCTGAGCAAAGCTACGATTTTTTTGCAGGTGCTGAAATGTCAATGATAAGGTAAACTATGCTTTTAATTTACATGTATTCATTTAACTTCTTAATTTTTTTATTTATTTTCTTTTTATTTATATATATAATATAAATATGTGTTTTACGCTCCTCGATCATTTCCTTTCAAAAAAGAATTCAAGTAATTGTTTTAATCTACGCCCCCCCCCCCCTCTTTTCTGGCTATTCACTTCTGTAAAAAAAAAAAAAGAAAAAAAAAGATGGTATGCATGTCTTATCTACAATATCAATTGGTTTTATTTAATTTTAGGAGTACCTATGATTCTGTGCATTTCAGAACAACACCAGCACCAAATTATACCTCTTTAGGTAAGAGTTTGATTACACGAGCGTATTGATTTGTTGAATTCAAGTAATGTACATTTTTATAGTGTGCAGCAGAGCAGTATTTCAACAAACAAAGTATATATATATATAACCTTAAAACGTGTATTAAGTAAATTACATTTCAATTTTAGATGATCTTAGATCACCAGACCATCGTCCTTTGGAAAAACAAGACAGTGATGGCTACATGGTGCCCTCGTTAGGAAATTTACAGTGATGTCACTATGACACATAAGAAATGAACAATAGAAATTAGGTCTTCGAAGATTCATTAAGTACTGAAATATTTCGTGAATCAGTGATTGAATAACCTTTGTATATCTGCCTTCTGTATATTGCGAGAGAAGTGTGAAAAATAAGTACAAGAAAGGCCGAAACATTTCCAAGAAGTGCGCTGAAACATGAAAATACAATAAAACATGATACAGTGGGGTTCTGAAGTGTTGGGATTTTATGTTCCTGCAGGGAATAGTCAGGTACAGAAAACAGCTGAGACTCACAACAAATGGTTGTCAAAATAACGCCTTACTGGGTTCACCACGGAGCAAAAGGCTACATTAGAAATTTTATTTACTTAATGATATTTCTTACAATAATAATGGTTCCTTGCAAGAAGTACATGTTGTATGACAATTATGCTTTAGATTCTTGGCGTATCATTTGGGATTTTTTTTCAACAACAACAATGCAAAATCTATTACGTCTCGATCATTTAGAGGACCATTGGTGTTTTGTCTTCAGCTTGGTGAGAATGGAGAAAAGGGCATCAGATAAAAATATAATTCTGACAAAATTTATCTCTCAGAAGCAGGGGACCAGCTCCTTTCTGTTTAGTCTTAGAAGCAATATATCCCATTTCCATTATATTTGGTTGTGGCTTTGTTATCAATGCTCTTTATTCTGTATTACGCTGAATGGCTCCGATAAACTTTTGATTGTAGGTTCCCTAATTCCTTTATCTCCGCTACTGAACACGTAAAGATACAAAAACCCAAAGCTCAATGTGACTGGAAAATATCTGGAAAAGCTATACAACGGAAAATGTTCCAATTACGGCAAAAGCCAAGCCAGGCGATAAACAATGAACAGCTCCTCGTGAAAATAAGCAGCTTTTAAATTCCCCATAATTGGTCCCAACATTTCAAATACTTCATAGAGGATTTGTGAATTCTGCGACCGGGCCGGGCTGATTCCAGTGCCATTAGGGTATACAAATCAATTATAGAGTCCCTCATGCATACAGCGCAGCCAGACCCAAGGGAAACGTATTAAAGACGAATAAATATGGAATATTCCGTATTTAAGTATGATATATTGTTTATTCGTGATAAGGGAGCATTTCCGTATTAATCTTCGATAGAAAGCCCCAAATGAATATTCATAACTATACAACGTTGAATAATGATTAATGTGGTTAAGATACAGTAAGTTATTTAAGCGAAAGTGTTTCGAAATCGGTGACCATATTCCAGACAATTTTTTGCTCTCTCTGTAAATACTCGTATGCGAAGGATTGTTGATCCAAATGCCAATACATAATAAAAGACATTCCAACCGGTTTAAACGCCATAACAAATACAAGTACACGAGAAATGTAATAGATGAAGTTTACATGTACGAATTACATTTTTGTGTGAAATCCCACTCGGAGACATTCTGATATTGTTACCAGTAGATGTAGTAAAACATATGACGTCTGACATTTTCATTTAATCCCAGATTTACTGTATTTCATATCTCCATTGGTATCTAATGGAGCAGCAAGCTTCCAATCGTCCCAAACCCCCTATACTGAAACTCTGTAACGGCTCTAAGCTTTCCTTATACTTGATACATGAACACGCTAATATTCGAAATGAAAATATATGCGTATTGCTTGAATCATCGGAATTGGAGAGGTTCCTTGGAGCAGAAGATTTATACAAAACTGTACAAGCTGAAACGTGGGAGATATCCCCCGATACAAAGCATTAGGCAAATTGGTACCAAGAAATATGACTTTTTCAGAAAGCAATGTCGAAACCGGTGGTGTCACTGAATGAAAAAATACACTGTAGCATTCATCAAGGCCGTCTGTTTTGACAGACGGGAATCACAAGATGAATAATTTAAGGGACCCAAGCCATTTCCTGAGAAAGGATTACAACAATAGGGAACCAACTAGTTCTTGTATCGGAGAGATCTCATCTTTGATGTAATCAGGCCACTCACTCACTCACTATACTGCCATGTGATCGTAATTGTGAAAAATTAATTCCATTAGTTATGAATCAGCAATACTCGTAGTTAGCTGAACTCTCAAAGAGTAAAGTCTTGTCAGAAATTCTTTCGGAATATCTTTAAGTCGCACGTAGTATGAGTGGGCTGAATTTATTTTACGTCTCAAATCAACATGAAGTGTGCAACTCAATAAGAATTGACATCTTACTTCACTGGAGTTTATGACCTAGGAAGTCATCAACACGTACATGTAATAAAAACGTACTAACTAAATCTATTGTTAGTAAATGTTGAAGTAAAACTTTTTAAAACTTTGCAATAAAAACATTTTTATTATTTTTAGCTCACCTGAACACAAATTTAAGACAAGAGGCCCATGGGACACATCGCTCATTTGAGCACTTTCGCTAGGAAAAAGCGGAAATCGGTTCAGTATTGAAAAGTTTAAATATATATAAAAGTGGGGGGGTGTTGGGTGTTGGGGGTGTTATGATTTGAGCCAACTTGAATCTACACAACCTAAGGATGCTTTTGATCTAATATGACTAATAATGGTTTTGCTGTTCTTAAGAAGAAAATTTTACTGATATATCTTTTATATTCATTTGTATAACTATGACCCCTGTTATGGCCCCTCTATACTCCTGGGGGTCATTATTTGAACAAATTTGAATTTACATTACTTGAGGATCCTTTTATTTTATTATGACCAATCACAGATTTGCTGTTCTTGAGAATAAGATTTTTAAAGATTTTTCCTGTGTTTTCTTATGTAAAACTTTGATCGCCCACTGTGGCCCCATCCTACCCCTGGGGGTTATGCTTTGAACAAACTTAAATCTACACTACCTGAGGATGCTTCCATATAAATATGAACAATCATGGCTATGCTGTTCTTAAGAAGATTTTTAAAGATTTTCCCTATGTATTCCTATGTAAAACTTTGATCGCCCATTGTGGCCCCACCCTACCGCCGGGGGTCATGATTTGAACAAATTTGAATCTACACTACCTGAGGATAATTCCATAAAAGTTTCATATTTTCTAACACAGTGGTTCTTGAGAAGAAGATTTTTAAATGATGCAATTAATTTTTCACTAATTCTTAATTATCTCCCCTTGGAAGAAAGCATGGTCCTTCATTTGTAAAAACTTGAATCCCCTTCACCCAAGGATACCTTGTGGCAAGTTTGGTTGAAATTGGCCAAGTGGTTCTTGAGAAGAAGATGAAAATGTCAAAAGTTTACGACGACAACGACGACGACAGACAACGGACAAATTTCGATCAGAAAAGCTCACTTGAGCCTTCGGCTCTGGTGAGCTAAAAAGTGAGGACAATGTCAAAGGAAAGGTCAAGGTCAAAAAATGTTGATTAAGATGAATAGGTCTCTCACCAATATGTATCAGTTTACAAGGTTTGATAAAAATATCTTGAATAGTTTCTTTGACACTGAGCTAAACAGAAATTTAAGAACATTGAGGTCAAGGTAAAGGGAAGGTCATGGTAAAAAAAAAATGTAGTAGAATAGCTCTCATCAATATATATTTTCATTTCCAACTGTTTCTCTTTGATAACTCTTTGAAAGTTAAGTGTGTTTATATCCTGATATTAGGTGAAATACCCCAATCTCCTATGCAGAGTTGTCGTTCGTTCCTCTCTCAGCCACCTCTGCATTGGGCTCGCGTCAAGATTTTTGACATAAGGTTAAAAACATTATATTCCAAGGATCATTTTAAATTAAATTCATATTTCTAGGTCTACTTAGTAAATATCTACCTTAAAAGACAAACATTAGTGCAGGAATTTATTTATGATGAATTAAAACAAACGAACTATTTCTTGTGCTTAACACTGTGATATACGCGAGCCAACGACAGAGGTGAATGTACGAGCCGATGGTAGAGAGTGGAAATACCCCTCTGCTCCAAATTTCATCATTTTTTTTTTAAATTCCCAACATTGATTTTCATCAACAACACTAGCATTAGATTCAAATGGAAAATAGTTTGAAGTATGAAGCGTTGCTTACTTTTTCAGAAATGAATATTATGTCTAATCATGATATGAAGAAAATTTGATATGGTTAATAGAGAGATCAAATTTTTTTTAAATCTCACCCTAAAATTAAAAATAAGAGGTATATATGAAAATAATATTTACTATCATACCTACCTTATTCACATTAGAAAACGAAACGAAGCGTTGCTTTTTAAATCTGAATATCACATTGTTTTCTGTGCTTGTAAAATAAAAATGCAAACATCTACAAGAGTTATCTTTCCATCTACAGGAGTTATCGTTTTTCAAAATATTTTTTCGTGGAAAAAAAAATTAATTAATTGATTGTAAAAAGTCTGGTTAGTCTGCATCTGAAATTTCTGTTAACAATTAAAAGAATTATATGTTAAGAGATAAAAATATCTCAATTTTAACAGTTTAAAGAAACTGAGTATGAATGTTTTAGGTAAACTATTATAAACTATTATAAGTAATTAATAAAATTATAAGCAATAGTAAATAGAAATCAATATTTGTAACATAGTTTGGATTAGAATGAGTTGACTGTGTAACGTCCTCATTATTAAACTCTGGTAAGACAATTCATTGGAATAATTTCCCCTGGCATACCCAACAAACTAGACAGTAATTCCTTAAGAATCAGCATTTGAAGTTTGATAAAATTATTTTGAAGAGTTTCTTTGAATCTGAGCTAAACACAAATTTTAAAAAAAAAATGAGGTCAAGGTAAAAGGATAGGTCAAGGTCAAAAACTGTTGATGCGGTTGAATAGCTCTCATCAATATGTATAAGCATATGGAGTTTCATAAAATATATTCAACGGTTTCTTTGAAACTGAGCTAAACACAAAGTGTGACGGAAGGACATTTCTATACTTTTTTCATATGCAGAACCTAGGTAACTGCAAAATAAAGGAACAATGAGGTCAAGGTCATTGGAAAGGTAGAAGTAAAAAATAATGACACACTACTCTCACCAATATACGGGGTCAAGGTCAGAAAATTTGGAGACAGTTGAATAGTTCTTATCAATTTGTATCTATAAAGTTTGAAGAAAATAAGTATCTTGAACAGTTAAAGTGAAACATAAATAAAAAATGAAGATTAGTGGAGTCAAGGTCATAGGGAAGGTAAAGGTCCGAAAATTTTAACACAATTAAATAGCTCCTACTATTCCTGGTATGTATCAATGTAAGAGTTTTGATAAAGAAATCTTGATGATTGTTTTGAACTGAGCTAAACACAAAATAGTGAATAATGTGACCAGGTTCACAGGGAAGGTCAAGGTTAGAAAAAAATGACACATTTGAATTTAAAACAATTAAATACAAATTAAGGAATAATAGGGTCAAAGTCAATAGTTGCTCTGAAACTGAGGAAAACACCAAATAAGGAATGGTGAGGTCAAGATCACTGTGAAGGTCAAAGGTCAAAATTATGCCACAGTTGAATAGCTCTCACCATTATGTATCAGTGTATGAATTTTGGTTATATCTTGAATAGTTTCTTTGAAACTGAGCTAAACGCGAAGTGTTACGATCGGGCAGACGGAAGGGTGAAAAGACAAAAGAATGGAAGATGGACATGACAAACACTATATGCCCCGGTCATATTCATGATGGGCATAAAAATGAACAACGTCTGAGTCAAATGCTTTTTTAAATCCAACTTTTCAGTCTCAGAATTTATGTTATTATATAGATTCTCAAGTCACCTTTAAGGATGCTATGACAAAGATTTTTTGTGTTTCTTTAAAATGCTGAACTATATTGTATCAATCTATTATAAACAAAACTGAATTGGTCTTGAAAATTTTCAGATATACCAATTATGAATTGCCGGATTAAGTTTTATGACTAAGGAATAAACAAAGATGTAAAGCGGACATAAGGTGTAACATATAATTACTGATCTATCTAGAGGTATAAGCTCATCTAACTAGGTAAATTGGTTGCTTTCTTTATCTAAACAAAAAAAAATTCTTCCAACATGTAATTTTCTAATTAACAACTTGCACCTTGATATTAGTTTCTTACAAATGTGAAACAAAATGTTCTATATGGAATTTAAGATCAGATAGGCATTTCTGCCTGCTCACACCCATATGAAAATGATTGAGGTATTGAATACGCTACATTTGAGCCAAACAGGCAGTATTTTCAATGCAAGTGTAACAGGAAAAGAAAATGTATGGCTAGACCGGGAATAGATGTCCATGGCCCAAACCATTACATTCCTTCCTTCTTAAATTGTGTTAGCCCTCGAAGACACAACCCAACTTCTTATTTGCCCCTCGAGGACACAACCCAACTTCTTATTTGCCCCTGGTAGGACTTTCACCTGCAAGTCCATGGGTGGTCAACGGCACCAAATTATGCAATAGGAAAGGAGAAAATGTATGGCTATACCCACTACTAAGCCAGAAATGTACTGAATTATTCCACACATTTATTTAAACTAGATTCACGCATAATTCATTTTATATCGAATTAGTTATGGATTATTTTACAGGTAGCAATAATATAAAATTGTTAGTTTAAACATTTTAACTCTGGGAAATGAAAATACTGTTTCTAACTTGAAACTATAATGCACACTAACATTATAACATCTCCGCAGCCTCCCCGAAAGCGGGAACAATAGGGACAGTACTTATCAGTAAATATCAGTACTTGTCTAAGTTTTTCAGCAGGGACAGTAAAACGGGTCAGTAATTGTCTAAGTTTATCAGCACCGACTAAGATTGTCAGCACTTTTCTAATTTTATCAGCACCGGCTATAAAAAGGTCAGTAATTGTCTAAGTTTTGCAGTCAAGAGAGAACTTTGGCAGTAATTGTCTAAGATTGTCAGTAAAAAATGGGAATGTCAGTAACATTTCTGGCTTAGTAGTGACCGGGAATCGAACCCAGGACCCCTGTATCACTAGTCAGGTGCTCTACAAATGAGTTACTAGTACCCAGGCCGATGTTCACGGCCCAAACCAAGAGTTATCTTTCTTTTTCTTTTCATCAAAACTTTATGAAGAAAAGGGGATGGCTCAGCTTTAAATAGAACTTCTATTTATTAGAAGACTGAGTATTGTCACTTTTCAATATGTATCATTAAAGAGACACAGTGAAAAAAAAAAAAAAAAACGGGAAAATTGACATAGAATTTTTGCATGGACCATGCAAATTTTGTTCAATTCTTGAAAGCATTAGGTTTCATAAAATTCAAAATGTTAACAACAAAATATTAAATTTGTTTACTCTCACGCTAAAAGGATTTCATGAACATCTGTGTCTAGTTTCAAAGAATTTAGAAGGAACCCTCCATCCTTAAAAACTCTACCCCTCATCTGCAATGATTCATGAAGCGTGTTTGAACCATGACTTTTGGACCACTGATTCTAATAAATTCAACCTTAACGATGTTGATGACCTAAAATGTTTGGACTTTGATGACTCAAGGTCATATCTCAAAACGACAAGGTCACTACACGTGTTGCTTAAATTGTGATAGAAATCCCGTTAAGTTAGCAATTCCTAACTGATGGTTAAAGTACAATGAATCCCTTACATGTCGTAAACCACTGCTTTAGAGATCTTTTAATATTGATTCCAGGACATGTCATCAAGGTCATATGTAGATGGTCAAGGTCATACGTTAACTCTACCTCTATATGCCAAAGTCTACCAATGTGTATACTCCCACCTCCTGCCTACCTCTTTTATTAAAAATTCTATCGCTTTTTTTCAAAAACCTTTTTTGGTTCACTTGGGTTGTCTATTTTGGAAGCCACATAAAATATCCTTAGTTTTTAAGATATTGCGCGTAACAAATGCCTTTTTCGAACCTAAGTTCAATCGCATCTTCTCGAGCCTTTCCTGCACAACTCTTCTGCTTGTCGGAAAGGCCCGAAAATGACTGGTGCACACATCAACATGATTACATTGGTTACGATAAATTTTGTAGATTATTTAACAGAATTAATGCATTTTCAGTATATAATCAATAGAGCCCCGCCCTAACACCAGAACCCCTGACCCTGGGGCCATGAAATTCACAATTTTGGAAGAGGCACTCTTGCTCATCATAACTATGTACTTAGTTACTTTATTTAATACCCAGGAACAGAGAAGAAGATTTTAAAAGAATTAATGTATTTTCACTATATAATCAATAGAGCCCCGCCCTAACACCAGAACCCCTGACCCTGGGGCCATCAATTTCACAATTTTGGCAGATGCACTCTTGCTCATCATAACTATGTGCTTGGTTAGTTTATTTAATACCCAGGAACAAAGAAGAAGATTTTCAAAGAATTAATGCATTTTCACAATATAATCAATAGAGCCCCCCCCCCCCCCCCCTTTTTCATCAGAACCCTTGACCCTGGGGCCATGGAAATCACAATTTTGAAAGAGGCAATCTTGCGTATCATAACAATGTACTTAGTTTGTTTAAATAATACCCAGGGGCAGAGAAGAAGATTTTCAAAGAATTAATGCATTTTCACTCTATAATCAATAGAACCCCGCCCTAACACCAGAACCCCTGACCCTGGGGCCATGAAATTCACAATTTTGTAAGAGGCACTCTTGCTCATTATAACTATGTACTTAGTTACTTTATTTAATACCCAGGAGCAGAGAAGAAGATTTTCAAAGAAATAATGCACTTTCACTATATGATCCATATAGCCCTACCCTAGCACCAGAACCCCTGACCCTGGGGTCATGAATTTCACAATTTTGGTAGAGGGCTCAAATGCTTATTACAATCATGCCAACAGTTTGACTGCTTGATGTCCAGGAGTAAAGAAGAAGATTTTTAAAGATTGCATTAATTTTGGTGGTTTTAGCCCCACCCCTCAGGCCCCAGGGGGCAGGGACCATGAAATTCACAATTTTTGTTCCCCTTCACCCATAGATGCTTTATGCCAAATTTGGTTGAAATTGGTTGAGCGGTTTCAGAGAAGAAGCTAAAAATGTTCAAATGTTAACGCACACCGCACGACGACGGACCAAAACGGATAGCAATAGGTCACCCGAGTGACTCAGGTGACCTAAAAACAGGTCAAAAATGTTGGTACCCAAAGAAAGGTCTTGTAACAAGGGATACACGTGAAATATAAAAGCCCTAGCACCAACAATTCAAAAATTATGTGCAAGGTTGAAGTTTTTACAATAGACAGACCAAAAACTATATGCCCCAAATCTTCGATTATGGGGGCATAAAAAGGGAATCAGCATTAATCTTATATGATTTTGCAACTAGTACTTTCAGTCATCGTGGGAAATACAAATTAGTGTAAAATTTTAACATTGGTAATTTTATGTTCATAACCTGTGACACAACCATTCAAGGAGTACAATCAATTTGACATCATGACCTTGGTTTGACCTAAATTTTCAAAAAAAAAAAAAAAAAAAAAAAAAAAAAAAGAAACTTGGCCATAGCTTTTGCAACTGAAGAGATAAGGCCTTCATATTTTTACACGTGCACTATTTGTGACAAATTATTCTGAAATGTCTGGTCACAAGTAATGCACTTCAATGTTCTATGACTTTTGACCCGATGACCTACCCTTGGAAGTTTGACTTTCTAAAATTTAATCTTGGCCTTAATCTTTGCCCCAGATTGCTTCAAAAATATAGTTTCTCTTTGGATGATTGACAGACAAGCCAAGACAGAAAAAATAGTTACTCACTGCACTCTAACCAATAAGAGCCCAAAAGTGGGAAACCACAATTTTCTGAATTTGCTTGTAATTACTGCAGTGGTCATTAGAGGCCATATTTATATCTTCTCAAATTTGAACTTAAACTGTGTGCAATTGTATGGTTTTAAGGTCTGAATCTCCCCTTTTTCATCATATATATGGTCAAGGTCATAAATGGCATCTATCTTTTTCAACCAAAAAAAAAAAAAAAAAAAAAAACCAAAACAAAACATCCAAATTAATTTTGCTTTAATATGTTCTATAATAATTTGAAGAAATTTCTTCACATATAATGTATTTGGCACATACTACATATATAATCAACTAAAGTTATACTTAAATTTTTCCATTTTTAACTGCATACTCTAACTGAATAATTAAATTAAAAAACAACATGCTAGCACCATACATATTGTCAACATTTGGAACTATAACAAATCAAAACTAACTCCTTCTAGACATCTGCAGGTTTGGGAATTTTGAATTTCTTTCTTGCTGATGGAGTTACTTTTGTGGGGATAGGAGACAGAGGAGAGGGGGATCCATAGGACATGAGTTGGGCCATCTTGGCCTGGTGTACGGAGTGCTGGGGGTGTGGACTAACATTCTCAGCCATTGACTTATGGTCAGCAGACTCTAACATTGAATTCTTCTGAAAGATAATAATCTCATTCATCATTTCATAGAATCTACTGTCCAATTTAAGGTACATGTATTATCCTATCTTATGTTACTTTTCTTGTTTAACTAGTCTAAAACAAGTTTCTTTAAATGATAATTTAATTTTAATTATCTTTTGGTATTGAATTTCAGTTTTTTTTTAAATGTTGTTCATTATAACAGTTTTAAAAACCTATAGTCCCCTCCGGTTTCACCGGTAGGGGACTAATAAAATACAATGAAACTTCTCTTAATCTCTATGTACATAGCATGTTTGGATTCCCTAACAAAAATTTACTACAGTAAATACTTTGTTACTTTGATTTACTCTGAATTTTTTACAATGAAACTCTTCTCTAGAACTATATTGAGATTTTGTAGCTTACCATTTCTTAAATTTAACAACAATGATGTCAATTTTGGAAATAAATGTGAATATACAAGTAATATTTCCATTTAATGCGCATGTATGAAATGTACAACATAAAATATAACAATCTGAAATCCCTAGTAAAATTATGTTGATTTAGTAAAAACTTTAATACTATAGTTATCTAAAGTCAATTTTAGTTAACTATAGTATTTTTTTTTGGGGGGGGGGGGGGGGTTAATTGGACAGGTTTTACTATAGTTTAACTATAGTTAACTATAGTATTTTTTGGGGGGTTAATTGGACAGGTTCCCTCAGACTATAAAACAGAAATCTGTCATTGCAGGAATTTTGTTAAGTATGAGACACTTACTGTTGGTGTATGCCCCAGTGTCATATTCCTCTTCTTCTCCAATAGTTCTGTCACCAGCTGCTGACCTCTCTCTATAAGAGTCTTCTCTCCTGAAGTCTTTATTCTCTCTGTCAGTACCTGGTAGGCATTCCTTTGAGTCGGCCCCTGGGGGGACTTGGTGAATACAGAAAACTCCAGACTGGCTTCTACTACAGGAAGGATTGAGGAACGGTAGGGAAACTTGTCCTGAATGTTACTTCCACAGAATAATGTCCCTACAGTGAGGGTAGTATTCATTCCAAAAGCCTGAAATAGGTTAACTTGCATACGATTGCCCAGAAATTTTTCCAAATGTCAAATCACATCTAACTTTGTCTAACATCAGTTTCAGATAAATTTACTAACTTATTTTTAAATTATCATACATGTTTTTCTACATACAACATTCACTTCTACACAAAACAGACCTTAAGCTACAAAATGCTACCAAAGCTATAATTACCTTGAGACCTCCCCAAAACTTTATTCCTATAATGTCTCCATTTTTGTCCATGCCATACAAAATTTCCTGATTCCTAAAATTAAGTTTTATTTTGCAATATAAAACTTTGCCTTTATGTACTGTACATATGTAGGACTCCAAAGTGCGATGGGACTCCAAAGTCCGATGGTCATGCCAATGTCAGATGGTCTGTGCCAAACCCCAATGGTTTGACATGCCAAAGTCTGATGGAGCGGAAAAACGATTGACAATTGTGATGTCATAGTACTACTGCGCCAAACTGCAATGCCGCGCCATGCCAAAGTCTTAAATATGTATAAATAAATATCATTATGTGAAAACTAACCCTGATCTCTCGGATAGGTGTGAAACCAACCCTAATCGCTCGAAAAGTGTGTAACAACTATAACCTAGATATCTTGGGTGGGTGCGAGACTAACCCTAGTCACTCGACTAGTGTGCGAGGACAAACCCTAAATCTCTCGGGTTGGCGTGAAGCAAGGACTAACCCAAATCAGTCGAGTGGTGTACAAGGACTAACCCTAATATCTCTGGTGGGTGCAAGCAATAAGCAAAATCGGTAAAATTGTATGCGAGGACGAATACTGAACTGATGGCTTTTGAATGCAGGACAACGGCATCAAGGATTGACATTGGAATATTGTGAGGTCATAAACGTTGATGGTTTCTCCGCACCATCATACTTTGGCATGTCAGACCATTGCACTTTAGCGCAGCGCGTCTCATAGGAAACAGGCCATCGGACTTCGGCGTGACCATCGGACTTTGGTGTCCATACCAACATCAAACCATCTGGGTTTGATGCAGACCATCGGGGTTTGGCGTCACCATCGGACTTTGGTGTCACCATCGGACTTTGGAGTCTTACATATATATGCGTATACTGGTAAATATTTTGTCATAAAATGAGAAAGGTTTCCTTACCTTTCATTTATTTCAGCTGCTTCAGTGCTAACAAGTAAGCACACAATATCTAGCTCTCCAAATATAGGCTGCCGCCTCTTCAAATCACATGCACACAGCACCTGCAACATACAGAAAATGAATACAAGAGGCCCATGGGCCTTGAATCGCTCTTCTGATAAACTGTACAACCTATCACTTCTATTTGAAGCCTCGAAGTATCCTGTATATTTACATAAACCCTTGAAATTCCAATTCACACTCTGAGAACCCAAGATGATTCTAAGCCAATTAGTACCTGAGAATTGCTCATGGTGACCTACTTATCACTTGTCATTCTCTGAGGACCCATCAACTAAGTTTGATGATTCTAAGCCAATTAATACCTAAAATATTTTTTAAAATTATAATCATAAAATTTTATAAGTAGGTCAAAGTGACCTACTTTTCAATTGTTTTACTCCAAGGACCCAAGATGCATCAACTGACAAAGTTTGATGATTCTAAGCCAATTAGTACCTGTTATATTTAATTAAAGCCATAAATTTTCAAAAGTAGGTCACTGTGACCTACTTTTCAGTTGCTGTACTCCGAGGACCAAAGATACATCGACTGACAAAGTTTGATGATTCTAGCCAATAAGTACCCAAAATATTTAATTACAGCCATAAATTTTCAAAAGTAGGTCACAGTGACCTACTTTTCAGTCAACCTACTCCGAGGACCAAAGATGCATCAACTGACAAATTTTGACGATTCTAAGCCAAATAATTCCTGAAAATATGAAATACAGCCATAAAATTTCAAAAGTAGGTCACCGTGACCTACTTTTCAGTTGTTGTACTCCGAGGACCCAAGATGCATCAACTGACAAAGTTTAATGATTCTAAGCCAATTAGTACCCGAAATATTTGATTAAAGCCATAAATTTTCAAAAGTAGGTCACCATGACCTACTTATCAGTTGTTGTACTCCGAGGACCCATGACGCATAAACTGACAAAGTTTTATGATTCTAAGCCAATTAGTACCCGAAATATTTTATTAAAGCCATAAATTTTCCAAAAGTAGGTAACAGTGACCTACTTTTTAGTCGACCTACTCCGAAGACCCATGACGCATCAACTGACAAAGTTTGATGATTCTAAGCCAATTAGTACCCGAAATATTTAATTAAAGCCATAAATTTTCAAAAGTAGGTCACGGTGACCTACTTTTTAGTCGATCTACTCTGAAGACCCAAGATGCATCAACTGACAAAGTTTGATGATTCTAAGCCAATTAGTACCCGAAATATTTAATTAACGCCATAAATTTTCAAAAGTAGGTCACTGTGACCTACTTTTTAGTCGACCTTCTCCGAAGACCCAAGATGCATCAACTGACAAAGTTTGATGATTCTAAGCCAATTAGTACCTGAAATATTTAATTATAGTCATATAAATTGAAAAGTAGGTCAAGGTGACCTACTTTTCAGTTGAACTTTTTTGAGGACCCAAGATGCATCAACTTACAAAGTATTATGATCATAGGACTTAAAATGTCCAAATTATGCCTCTAAAATGCTTTGAAATCGAATGCCTGCAAAGTTCAAAAAGTAGGTCACTGTGACCTACTTTTTAATAATTATGTTTTTTGGCCCCAAGATGCCATCATCTTACAAGATTTAATGATTCTTAGCCTCCCCGTATTCGAATTAATGACCTTAATTGTTTTAAAAAAGATTAGCCATAAAATTCAAAAAGTAGGTCAAGGTGACCTACTTTTTAGTTGACGTACTTTGAGGACCCAAGATGCATCAACTGACAAAGTTTGATGATCATAGGCCTTAAATTGTTCAAAATATGCCTCTAAATCATTTTGAAAAAGAATGGCCGCAAAATTTAAAAAGTAGGTCACCGTGACCTACTTTTGAGTCAACATGATATGAGGTCCTTAGATGCACCAACTGACAAGATTTGATGATCCTAGTCCTTATAGTAAGCAAAATATCAACATTTTAATAAAATGTAATTTTTGGTCAACTTTGAAGTGACCTTGAGACCACGCCCTTTGCCCCAGGGTAAATCCCCGTGCAAATTTTAATCTACAACATATCCTCATCCTTTTATATAAGTTTGGTGATAATCTGCCCAGTGGTTCTTGAGAAGAAGATTTTTTAGCAACCAGTACTTTTGTTTCTATTTTCCTAATTATCTCCCCTTGTTAAAGGGTCACAACCCCAGTTTTAGTACAAAAGGGAGCCCTTGGGCCAAGGATACCCTGTGACAAATTTGACAATAATTGGCCAAGGGGTTCTTGACTTATGGCCCATATTCTAAAAAGTTTACGCACACCGCACAAATGGCCATAGCATTAGCTCTTTGAGCCTTTGGCTCAGAAGAGCTAACAAAATGTACTGTAAATCACTTTTCATTCGCGAGATCATTATTTTCGCATTATTACGCGAGACGGTCTGCTCATGAATATGTCATTCTCGCATAAATTTTGGTAAGTATAGATTACTGTATGTGTACTTAAAAAAGCCGGCTTCAAATTTTAGCAGCTTTGGCACAGACAATGATGCGCTAATTCATGAATACCACTAAGAAATCATTTATAAAACAATATACGGCACGGACATGTATAGCATTAATTCAGGATTTCGCAAACAACTCCATACCCAGTGATTGCACTAAATTTTGAATACACAAATTTATGTACTCGTACAGTATATTCAACAATATCCAGAATTCATGAAAATTTTGTTTCACTTATAAATACCAAATACATATCTCGTGAAAATAAGGTGTCGCGAAAATTTGGTGATCTAGAGTATATGGCATCTTTCACCTTAGAAAAGTAATCATTTATTGGTGAGTTAAACACAGAACTTACCTCTCTGGGTTCAAACACCATGTCTAGAAGATTCTCGTCTACACCAAGAGGTAAGAATTTAGTTTGTCTGTTAGCTGTAAGTTGTACACTGTATTGACTGAACTTGGTTCTATAAAATAAAGCTATATCTAAGGTACGTTCAGAAAGAAATCAATCTAAAATCACCCATGAAAAAATTCTAACAATGACTCTGTAAAACATAATCAATCCACTTAAGTTTTATTTTTTCCAGGTGTTAATGTTGTAAAAGCGCCCAACCTAATATATACTGACTAGCACAAATAAAAGGTGCGCTGTACTTGGAGTTTTAAGTCTTTCTATGTAAGTTTTCTTTGTTACTACAAGTATAAAGCTAACCTTGATTGAGAGGCTGACAGAGAGAGTATCTTGTATCGCTGTCCCTCTTTCAGCTCCATCACTTCCTGTCCTGGGCGCCACACAGAGATTATTGTTGCTGAATAATTTGAAAGTTTCTATATGTAAAATCTACTGAGATTTAAATGAGAAAATGCTTCAAAAATTGAATACTTTATTGTTCCACCATAAACTTACATATTTTGAAATCCACATCTTTTTTTGACAGTCCTACAACTCTAAGCTTTAACAAAGGAACCACATTTCTGCTTTTCCCATCCTGAAATATAATTGTGTACTTTACTATGGGTCCATTCTTGTTGCTGGATACCTTCCAAAGTATTTTTTCTTAAGTTGTACTCTTTCACAAAATAAACTATAAAATTATAATGTTTTTTTAAATATTGTAAATGTATTTTATTTGGTGTGCATAAAATTTGGCAGAAATTGATATTTCAACAAGTTAACATAGATTTGATTTAGAGCTTCCTGAATGTGCTTTATATGAGTATATATACACAAGACATTTAGCAATGTACTTGATATGTGGAAGCCTTTTCTGTGAAATAGAATACATGGCCAAAGATAATACAGTACAAAATACATGTATAATCCAGCTGGGCAGCACTGCTTACAGTGAATCTTAATATACAATAAACATACAATAAACATACAGTAAAACTCGGTTAAACCGAAGTCCTAGGGACCTGTGAAATTACTTCGTTATATCCGTAAATTGTTATATCCATATAAGGAATTCGTTAAATTTATATAGCTGGGGATCCAAGAAAACTTCGCTATATCTGTTAATTCGCTATATCCGTGTTCATACTAAACGAGTTTTACTGTAACTAAAAAACCCTCTACAGAATCTTTCCATAAACAATTATTTAATAAAGTGACTAGTATACCCCTTGTTCATCATTCCATGCTTTTTGGAACTCATTCTGTAGTCGCTGAAGTTTCCTCTGATGAAGTTCTTGTTTGTAGTCCATTAATGATCTCAGCTGTGAATCACTCAAGTACCCCTGAAATGGTATCAAACCACACCTAGTGAAATAAGAATACTAATTTGCTGTTCTATATTCTGAGGTTTTGCAGGGGAAATATATTTTCAGGTGTCAAGATTAAAACTACAAAGATACATTTTCTATGAAATATGAATCTTCACTGAAATGTTAAATCACTGCAGAGAGAGAGAGAGAGAGAGAGAGAGAGAGAGAGAGAGAGTTGGTCATCTAAGATACATCCTTATTCACAACTCTGACAGAACTTACTTTGGACTTCAGTTAAATGGCTGTTCCTACAAACACCCCGCACTACTTTTCATACTCACTTCTATAATGTCAGGTCTCTTGGCTGTTCTGAGAGCCTCCCACACTTCTTGTCCACACTGTAAATCCTCTATTTCACCCTTACTCCACTGTCTTTTCACGGCACAGCTCTCTGGCAAAATGAATACAAAATGTCAGCTGACATACACTATATAGAATTCATATTTCTGACGCAGTTGCAAAAGCCTAGTGATTAGGCACTCTTATTTTGTGACTGGAATGTCCTGGTTTGATTTTTATTCTAGGCACCACTTCGAACCTAGACTTTTAACGTGGATAGTGATGTTAACTTGCCAATGCAAGGGATTAGAAGTGACATTCACTGACAGGTCTTTAGGATATGACCTTTAAAAGAAGGACCCATGTCATAGTAGGTGTTGGCATGATAAAGAAACCTTATTGCTACATCCTTAAGCATCTACATATAGGTCAAAATTAGTGACACATCACCTATAGCTGCTTACGTTTCTACATGAAAAATTCTTGAATGAAATGTAAAAAAGCATACAATAAAAACAATCATTACATGTATGTTTATTTATAGAATTCAGATTTGTTTAAACTTTGAAACAATACTACCTTCATAATCTTCTTTATCAAATTTGTTCTCTATTTTCCTGTACAATGTTTCCTTGGCTTCTTGTTCTTGTTTCTGATGAAGTTGACTGAATTTTTCCTCAGCCTGAGCTGTTCTAAAAATAGAACCTCCTCCTGGCAATTTCTCCATGTACTACAAAACAGAACATCAAATGTATACCAATATCACTGGCTCTGCATCATTTGATTACTTCAAATGCAAATTTTAATCATTAAAACAAATTAATTCTTCATGAAAAACATAAAAGTTATTTATTTTCATATAAAATTCAGGATATTGTTATGTACCAAAGAATTAAAGCATTCTAATTCCCTTGCATACACATGTAAATATTGTCCATAAAAAAAATTGTAAACCTTTTCACATACCATTAAAGGATATTTTCTTCCCAATATTACATCAATGCATCCCACCATTCCTCCCTCCCCATTGGTTTCTGACAATGGGACACAGAGGGGACGGGGATCCATCTGAAACCCCAGCATGGTGTCCCAGGGGACAGGCCTTGTGGAATTGAAATTGATCTTCAACTGAAGAGAAGCTGGTGCCTATAACAGTTCATAACAGGGTTCAGGTAATGTACAACAGTTCATAACAAGGTTCAGGTAATGTACAACAGTTCATAACAAGGTTCAGATAATGTACAACAGTTTATAACAAGGTTCAGGTAATGTACAACAGTTCATAACAAGGTTCAGGTAATGTACAACAGTTCATAACAAGGTTCAGGTAATGTACAACAGTTCATAACAAGGTTCAGGTAATGTACAACAGGTTCAATAGAAATCTTTACACAGATGTACACATGCTGACAGGGTTGGACATTAATGTCTGTTTGCTTGTCTGATAGTAGTGAAAATTTTTCATGGACAAGTGATATTGCTGGGAACTTATCCAATTGGACAGTGATTTTTTCTGTGAGAAATTCTTTTATAAAAAGTTGAAAATAAAAAAACTAAAACCTGTTGTCAACTTTTTATTGAAAGTTCAAGTCAAAAGTGTGCAGTCTGTAAACAGCTTACTTCAATCCCGATAGTAATAATGAATTTAGATCCTGACCGTTAAACTCAAATGTGATCAAACTTCACTATGGAGATTTCCCTATGAAGTTTGGGTTTTTGGCATTGGGTAAGAAAGTGATAACAAATGAAGACAAAGGTATGAAAGAGTTGGAGAAAAAAGCAAATAAATGTTTGATGTTGAACCTATTTCTTTTTGTTGCTATTTTTCTATAATTTTTAATTTAGCATTAACTACTTATCTAGAAGAAGATTATGTAATTAAGTTTCATAATTTGCTATATGTGTCAAAATAAAACTAGAACTGTCCAAAAGGGACAAATACCCCCCGCTGGGTTTTTCAGAGAAGGTACCAAATCACTAATGTTTTCTAGATGTGAGAGGTGTTCACAATTTGCTTAAACATTTAGAGTGAAAATTTAATTACTCATTATATTTTTTTTAATGAATGAAACTAAGGTGCAGCCTAATAAAACATCAATACTAGTAATTTTTATTACATTGAAAAAATAGTTTGCAACTATCTGTCATCTTTGTGAGACATGACACTCTGCAAATTGATTGTTGAAAAAAAAATACCATAATTAATTATACAAAATCAAATTGATCTTCATACCTTTATATCAAAATCATTATAAAAATAGAAGGCTGTTTCCAGTAACTATGTGTTTTGACAGACATAAATTACAATTAAGAGACTTAGACAACAGAGATCTTTATTTCTTTCTGCCCAATTCCCAGGAGATATAGATAAGACCTGCTTGATCAGAGATGCCCTAACAGCTTCCCACACTGAACTCATTAATTAATCTTTAACTGGATGCATGTCCACTCATTACTCCCAAGGGACAAATGGATTTACACTATCTGCTGTGTAATGTAAAAACTGTTTTTAATACTTTGTGATTTTTTTTTACTTCTAATGAGTAGTTTTAAGCTGTAGTTCACATTTTTGTACAGATGTTGTAGATTCTATGTCTCAAACCTTAGACATGAACCCGAAATGACTAAGTCAATAAAAATGAAAAGAAAAAAAACACCTGTAAAATGCAGAAAAATTATCAAATAATGTTGAAAATACCAGGTGAACATCTTCATATGGTAAATAATAAGTGTACAAATTTTCATACAAATCTATGCAATAGTCTCTGGGAACATATCCGGACAAAACCACATAATAAAAATGAAAAAAACACCTGTAAAATGCAAAAAAAATATCCAATCATGATGAAAATACCAGGTGCACACCTTCATATGGCAAAGAATAAGTGTACAAATTTTCAGACAAATCCTTGCAACAGTTTCCAAGAAATGGTCCGGACAAAATCTCGTCTACAGACAGACGGACAGACAGACAGATGGACAAGCTGATTCCAATATATCCCCCCTAAACTTCGTTTGCGGGGGGTATAATAATAAAACATACTAGATGAATATATTTAATATAGACTCGATTTTCATTTACAATATTTTTTAAGTTTTCAAATAGTTCCTTGTAGAAAAATTTTAGACAATTAAAAATTATGTTCGGACAAGTAAATTTTACAGTCACTTGTCAGAGAGGACAAGTAAAAAAAAACATTAATGTAGAGCTTTGATTAAGCTTACCTCTAATAGAGAACACACTAATGTACCTGAATAACAATGGAAATCTTAATACAGATGTACTTAGCTAACCTCAAATGGAGAACAGGGCTCCTGACTTCCCACTAACTCCGCCCCTGAAGTACACAGTTTGTGACCTGTTTGGATCCTCTTTTTATTAACAAGGTCCAGTAAAGGGACATCCAACTTTGCTGGGATACAATACCAACCATCAGTCAGCTCTACTGTTACCTAAAGTAGCAAAGTTATTGTTGGCCGAGTTGGAAATAAAACACGTTTGTAACCCTGCAATTTCTAACTTTACCACTTACATGTATTTATTTAATGAGAAATCCTTTCATACAAATACTGTATATACTTGCTTATAAGTAGGTTCTCTTACAAGTTGGTTGCATTTTTTTGAAGATTGTTTTGGAGGAATTTTGTCACTGATCCGCTTATAAGCTGGTGCAGTTTTTTGCCAGAATCTGTAGGCAATTTCAGATTAATATTCTTTTGTATTTACCTGTGTTTCAAACTATGTTTTGGGGTATGACATTGACTATTGATATTTTATTAACAATCTAACAAAGGCAAGATCATTAATCTGAAAGCACCTGTGTTTTATGTACAGTGCTCCCTCGGTATATTGCCAACTTTTGTCCAAGACAGATTTTGGCATTAAAGCGAGGGTGGCAATATAACGAGTTCTGTCATAAATTACAATGCAATGAGCCCAGTTCAAGATGAATACGTAATTTATTTTAGTTAAAATCAAATGTCATGCTTTTGTGTGTGTGTACATACATATACACTCAAGCGCAACTTTCATTTCTTCTGGAAAAAAAGTCATTAATTTATTTGTTTTTAAAATGAAATGAAAATGTCACAATATTACGACATTTTTCAATTTCCCGCTCTTTCGCTCTTCTGTTGATCCTGAGTCGAAGAATTTAACAACCCGACGATAACGGTGTCAATAGCAGTTTTAGCCTCTCGGTATACAAAAGTTTTTGAGGTTTATCGTCAATATCATCTGAATCGAAAGTAGATTATTTCACCATCTCAAATAACTAGATCAGTTAAAAAAGTTCGGTAACAGACGAATGGAAAGTCACGTGCCAGGGTACACGTCTAGATCTTCATGAACCTGTTGTAATATACACGTATTCTCATGTTTGCTAGTACCTGAGTACTTTCTCTTCTTAATCTGTTTTGATATTCATCAATCAATCCATTATGTGTCCAACAATTGATGACTGTTTCAGGGGTAACGGAATCCCATGCTATTTTCACGTGCGGAATTATAGTAGTCTAAAAATAGAGATGGGATTTCCTTAGAATTTTGATCTATGGGGAATAAAATGATTTTTTCATTTATTATGGCCTGCTTCGGTGAAAGCAACAATCGGCGATTTACAGTTAAATAAAATGTACAATTATTTGTTTGGGTTTATTTTAAATTTTCGTTTGTAATCTAAATTTGTACGCTTTCTCTTCCCTGACTTTCCCATTATTGTGATGAAATAATACTTCTATCTTATAAAAACAACACAAAAGAAATTGCTAATTTTGAGTTTTATAAAACAATTATCTTTAATTTAGCTGAACTCCTTGTTCAGCCAGTCACCTGGTCACGCTTCACCGCAACCACTGTCAAAGCACGGGTGTGACGTCCAAATTACCGACACGCGCTAGATAATTGGCATTGTTACCGAGGGTTTTCCTTATATAATTTGACCTTTTGTTTCCCCAAACTAGTGGCGGATGGCAATAAGCGGGGGTGGCAATATAACGGGTGTATTAACACAGGGGGAAATCCGTTCTTGGAGAATTCCTGGCAATAAGCGGGGGTGGCAATATAACGGTGGGCAATATACCGAGGTAGCACTTTATATGGTAACCTTAAATCTTCCTTTCCTACATTAGATTAAGTTCTGACCTTTATACACAGATTATCATTGAGTTGTTACAAAGTTACTATCTGTCTTCTCCCACAAAAATACCAAATTTTTTAGTACTCACTTACAAGTCAGAGTTTGGAACCAAAATTTTAATCCCAAAAAATCCAACTTATAGGCAGGTACAACATGGTTTTTAAAGATATTTCCTATATACAGTCTAGACGAACTCCAAAAATGGCGTGAACTCCAAAAAAGAAGTCTTTGGCTCCATCATGCATTGCAGCAAAATGGCGTCCGATGTAAACAAACAATGAATAGTCGTTCACTTTCTTCATATATATACGACCGCTAAATGGCTGTATTTAGTACATTGTGACTATATTTTAATTTTTGTTGAATGAATAATTAAACTTTTTAATTATATAATGGATATTGACTTATTTATCGCTTCCAACTCTTGCATTATATAGTGATTTTGGATATACGACATCGAATTCAATACTGCCGGTAAGAATTAATTTTTTAATTAATATATTGTCTCCTTGATTTAAAATTTATGTCGTTCCTATAATAAAGATGCCTAAATTTTATTTCGAAGACACCCAAATTGTAATTATTTAATCAGAAAATGCACAGTTTTCACCACGGAGCAGAGATATTAACAGGTTCATTTTTAGAAGACCTGTTGTGACGTTAATTTTTTAAAAGAGTGATTTTTTAAGTTTTCAAATTGATAGATAATGGTTTAAAAATGTTTTCATGATAATACCTGTTTGTATTTGATAAAAAAAATCGGTAAATAGCGATGGTGAGAACTTATGCTTTCAATTCAGATGTTGAACACAATTAAAATACCGAAATAATAATAAATGTGTAAAATGTGTAAAAGTTTTTAACAGATACAATATATATTGTTCCATTTTAAATATATTGCCCTTTTTTAGGCATAATTAATTCTCAAACGTATAATTTTCTCACATAATTGATCTGACTTGAAATGTTAACTTTGAAAGTAAATATCCCTTTATTTGCAATTAGAATCTAAAATCTGACAAATACGATCTCTTTTGAAGCCATTTATTTAGCATTTCTGAGTACTGGTATAATTGCCATACTTTCCCAAACTTTGCACGGACAGTTTTTGTAGACCCATCATTTTTGCTGAAAAATCGCCAATTTTTGTGTGTCTGTGCATGCGCGAACTCTTTTTTCGGAGTCTTTTTCTGTCTCAATTTCTTACTTCTGGAAACGCTGTTTTTGGAGTTCGTCTAGACTGATATATTCCTACAAATAACTTTGATTCCTTGTTGTAGCCCAACCCTACACAGGGGGGGTCATGTCATGTTTTGAACAAACTTGAATCTACACTGTGTGAGGATGTTTCTGTACTAATATGACTAATTACAGCTTTAGCTGTAAGGAAGGAAAGGGAAGGAAAATTAATAGTTTTTGTTGCAGAAATGTTTTTTTTCAGACTGTGAAAAAAAAATTGTTCATTTCACATTGTAAAAATAACACCTGTGAGGTGAAAATTTCATTTCCTTTATAAATCTTTACTAAAAAAAAAAGTCTATCATTTGCAATGTTTTACTAAGTGGTCAAAAAAAACCCATAGGTAATCAGAGATTACAGAGCTCACCTCAACGAATGTTGTCTTTAAGTAAGGCAAAGTCCCACACTAAACTAATAATCTAGGAGTGTGCATCCCTAGATGCAACATTTATGCAATTTTGGTCTGATAGGGTTTGCAGTTACTTGGGAATAGACTTATCTGAAAACTTAAAACTAGTCACTCATTCAAAAAATGTAAGTCAAATCCAGCTTCCGAAGCAAGTTTTGAGATTGTTCGTCCCTTGATGCATCATCCATGCAAGTTTGGTTCAGATAGGCCTTATAGTTACTTGGAAATGAGATCTGCTCCAAAAACTTTAATCTGGTTACTCATCCGGAAAATGTAGGTCAGATCCAGCATCCGAAGGAAGTCCAGTAGTGTGCATCCTTAGATGTATCATCCATGCAAGTTTAGTCAATATAGGGCTTATAGTTACTTGGAAATGACATCTGCTGCAAAAACTTTAACCTGGTTACTCATCCGGAAAATGTAGGTCAGATCCAGCATCCGAAGCAAGTCCAGTAGTGTACATCCTTATATGTACCATCCATGCAAGTTTGGTCAATATAGGGTTTATAGATACTTGGAAATGACATCTGCTCCAAAAACTTTAACCTGGTCACTCATCCGGAAATTATAGGTCAGATTCAGATCTGAAGCAAGTCCAGTAGTGTGTATCCTTAAATGTATCATCCATGCAAGTTTGGTCAAAATAGGGCTTTTAGTTACTTGGAAATGAGATCTGCTCCAAAAACCTTAACCTGGTCACTCATCCGGAAAATATAGGTCAGATCCAGCATCCGAAGCAAGTCCAGTAGTGTGCATCCTTAGATGTATCATCCATGCAAGTTTGGTCAATATAGGGCTTATAGTTACTTGGAAATGAGATCTACTCCAAAAACCTTAACCTAGTCACTCATCCAGAAAATGTAGGTCAGATCCAGCATCCGAAGCAAGTTCAGTAGTGTGCATCCTTAGATGTATCATCCATGCAAGTTTGGTCAATATAGGGCTTATAATTACATGGAAATGAGACCTGCTTCAAAAACTTTAACCTGCTCCAAAAACTTTAACCTGCTCCAAAAACATTTACCTGGTCATTCTTTAGCTGAAATTGCAGCATCTGAAACCTTGACTGGTACATGTACAATGAAACGCACTAGAAGCATCCTCCATGCATCTCTGACTAATATAGGCCATAGAAGTACTTGAAAAGAAAACTGCTCCAAAAACCTTAACCTGGGACGGCGACACCGACGGTATTACATAAGCTCCCCCAACTTCGTTGAGGTGAGCTAAAAATCGATGTTGGACCACTGAGTGAGATATAGAACCTGTCAATGACATATTGGACCACTATAACATTTTTTCATGTCACACTCTAAGGCCAAAGTTTTTTTTTTTCATTTGGTTTACGATTCTGCCGACCCTAATTTTCACCAATCATGAAAATAAAAATAATGTCTTTTTCCGACATATTTTCCCGGATTTTTCTCAGCTGAACTGGTGGGTTTTAAATTTTAGAATGCATCTTAGTCTAATAAGCGCTTATAAATATATGACACCTTTACAAACATTTAGGTGACCATAAATAAACACGTGCAGACCAAAAATGGCGGTTCTGTCATGTAACAAGGTAATTCTTCGCTGAAAGCAATGACATACACTTAAAGAACTTTTTCTGCATGGAAAAGTGAATAAAATCTTGGATGCATGATCCCTTTCTCCAATTGCATTGTCTCAATTGGCTAAATTCATACCGTAATATTGGAGAGTGTATGCCCAACCCTGATCAACCTAGCAGACACGGTTACACCTATAGATAATAAGGATTTATCAGTGCCTTCTCATGTACAATTGCCCAATTGGAAATGAGTTCAGTTTTTTCCCAATTTGGCAGTATTTTTTGCCAATTGGTGAACAATGCTTTTATTTTTAATTATCTTGAAAAAACACAAAGTAAAATTGTCAGACTGTCTGTAATTTTCATCTATTTAACTCATTTAGCAAAGCTACAGTCATAACACGTTTAAAAATACTGTAAAAACATCGCCAACTTTTAATCCGAATTTCCTCCGTTTTTCTAAAAATGATCATATTGTGTAATTATATAGATTTATTAAGTTATTTCCACCTACTCAATTGATCTGCGAGTGAATAGTAAGGACTTTAGGCATTATTTCAGATAGAAAAATATATTTTTAATGCATTAATATATATTAAAAGAGGACTTTTAGAAAATGTGTACTTACTATTTTTGCAGGAGGTTTATAATCTCCAGAAACAGATACTATATGATCTAAATTGAAATCTCATACACACATGTACAACCCTAAGTTGTATAAATGCTTTACACTAATTGAAGTCCAATTTACTTTTATTAGTCTATTATTCATAATTGATCTTGTATGATGAAGATGGATCATATTTAATTGTCGTTTGGTTGCCCAAATTAGAGTTCATACTGAAATGTTAAATGAATTACCCCTGAATACAGGATTTAAGTAACATTTTAAAATTTTTTCCAATTTCATCAAATAGCCGATAATTTATTCCCAATTCCCCAAAAATGGTGTTTCCCAGAATAGGCTGATAAATCCATGGATAATAGTTAGACGAATTTAGTGTTGAGAGATACATCTTAGTTGAAGTAACGCTGACCGGTATTTCACTGGATAAATTCAAATGTGTATAAAACATTTGTTAATTTATAGAGGTAAATTCAATATACAAATCTTTGCAAATTTCATACTCAATTTAGATCAAAGCCCTTTGAATTACTAAGTAAATAATGAGCATTGCCTACTGTGCAGGTACATAACAAAAATTTAAAGAAGGACTTGATTGAGAAATTATTAGGCTTTTGTGCTGCAGGTTGAACATTAAATTTGATAGCTGCATGATCAAATTATTATAACCTTTATTTCAACATCAATTACTTTTGATATTAAACAATTAAAATGTATTTTTCTTCAATCTATATTTAATTTAAATTTGGATCCTTATTTTTAGTTTGTGGGGATACCGAGGTTTATAACACATCACATATCACTGAAAAGCACAAAAAGAAGTTGAACATCATGAACCATGCACTGACTGACAAACAAAAATCAGAACTATATGTAAATGAAAATGACATTCAGTCTAAAGTTAGAAATGAATCAAAATTAAATAAAAAGAGTTATGTGATCTAGACAATAAAACTTAAAAGTACTATTGACGTGTATTATTTTTATTAAAATAAACATTGCTGGTATTTTAAAATGAAACTGTTGAATCCTAAATTATTTTTATTTTTATTTTTCGACCACCCAATGCATTTTTTTGAGACAGAAAATCGTAAATCAAAAAAAAAATAAAAACTTAGGCCTAAGCAGGATCAGCTATATATTATCAAATATCGCAAATATGGAAGCCAGTGCAAGATATATAAAAATAAAAAGTAAAAGATATAACAAAACATTTATTGATTGTGTTCATTGGCAAAATGTGTTATGTCAACCCTTCAACCAAACAGTTGCCTTGGGTTTAACAGCCTCAGGCAAACAATTTGGTTCTTGGGTCTGACAAAATGCATGTTGCCCTTGAACCCAGTTAATAAATGTACAGTATTGCAGTGTTGAAAATGTAATAAATATGTTTAAATGAAACTTGAATAGAGAAAAACCTCAGTTTCTTGAGGAGCCTGTTGTTTACTGGCCGGTGTAGAAGCTCTACACTGTTGCTCTCTATATATACCAGATACACACAGTACCAGTCTTTTGGTTGATGTGTCATCTCTCTCCATAATTTTTCTTAAGGCTGACCTAAAAAATACAATCATATATCTCATTTTTTAAAAAAAAATTGTTGAATACACATTTATTCAATGATTGTCATTAAGGACATACGCAACGTAGTTGGAAATTATTGTCTTTTCCCCTGGAGTTGAAGAGTTCCAATACTTACAGAAACTGTGTGCTACATTTTAATGTCTATACATGTATATGCTGTTGAACACTTCTTCTAAAACAAGTTTGGATAAACAAAACATCTAGAATATATGTTTAGAATTTTTTGTATATTTTTCTCAGAATTATACAAGAATTTTTATCAATTGATATCTTTTCAAAACCCCTGGTAATGCATGCTGATTTTTTTGTCTACAAACATCTGATGGCAATATAATCTTAAATTAAAAATATCTTGAAAAATTATCAGTAGGTAAAGTATGTTGCGTACATCCTTAAAACATTTCTTCTATCTAGTATCTCTGCAGTACCTATGACAACTGTCTATTTCTCGATCATATCTGTACTTCATCTGCAGCATTACATTTTCTGGAGTCAGAGCCCTGAAGAGACATAACAAAGTAATTCAGAAGAAAATGTGCCTAAATGGTACCAAAAACATTAAAAGGAATGGAACATTTTGACAATTCTTGTCTGGATTTACCTGCCACCAAACTTATCAGGGGAAGCAACTTCATATGATGCCAACTTCCACACAATCCACCTATAGTGATTACAGAACCATGCCTCATTGATCAGGGAACAGTCCACACTGTCTATTGTCAGAAAGGCTCTACCAAAGGATTTACATATTTTTTTATTGTTCAAACAAAAATTAGCCATAGAGATACCTAATGAATAAATCTAAGCTTGCTTGTTGTTCGGACAGCTTCATAGAGTAAAAGAACAATGAAACAAGATGTGTTTGTGAAACACTGATGCCCCCGTATGGCAGCTTTTCTCAAATGCAAGTCAAAATCCAGGCCAAAAGATAAAAAATGTTGTTACCCAAAGAAAGGTTTTGTCTCGAGGAATATACCTGTAAAATTTGAAAGACCTAGCTGCAACTGTTCAGAAGTTATGGTGAAGGTTAAAGTTTTTTTTAAAAGTAAGTAAAACTTCAAGGTCAAGGTCAAAGTGGTTGGTATCCAAAGGAAGGTGATGTCACAAGGATTACATATGTGAAGTATGAGAGCCCTAGCTCTAACCATTCAAAAGTTATGACCAAGATTAAAGTTTATCAAAAGTAGGTCAATGTCACATTAAAATCATCCTAACATACTTTTGGTAATGTATTTTAATTTTCATGTAAATATCCCGTGGGGAACCCCTTCGTTTTAAATGTGTTATCACTGTACATATCCTTCACTGAACCTCAATTCACTGGACCTTAAAACCCGCCAGTCCGTGCCAGTTAGTTTTGGACGCGGCAGTCCAGAGAGGAGGACGCCTTTATCTCCTCTTATATCTTTGTTTTTTACATGTATGTACCCTTGTGATTCATGGCAGTGCTTGCTCTGGTGTGATATTATTTTTAGCAGTGTAATGGTCCAGCTTTTCTGAGGTAAGGCTTATATTTATAATTCTATTTTAGTTATTTCCTATATATTATTCATTTGTCCTAAAACATCCAGTCACCGCATTTCTCATCAATTTTAGCATGTGTGTTTCCTTTAATTTGATTTCTATCTATAGTAACACGTATATGAATATTTCAAAGTACGGTGTACAATTTCTGTCATAATAGTTTGTCCGTAAAGTAGCAATTCGCAATATTGCATTTGTGTAAGAGTTGTATGTATAATTTAAACAACTCATGTGTGTGTAATTGAGTCTTATCTATAGCTAAGACGTGTCCATTATCTATAAATCTGATAATGAGTGTAATGTGTATTTGTGTAAAGCCACTAGAGCTTGTAAGTAAAACTTGTATGTATATGTTGGAGCAGGTTCCATCCATATGTCAGAGTTTTTGTACAACAGTGAGGCCACCCAGTGCCTAAAGTCCGCCCATGGTGTGTAGTAGATAGGCCAGCCAGCCTTGGAACCTAGAGTCCATCCTCCAGCCTGTGAAGTGGAAAAGCCAGCGGCAAGACGGGAAATTACGACAAACAACAACAATGACATTTGTATATAGTATCATCAGTAATTAAACATGTAAATTGTAAACAAAAGCATTTGAGTTGTATTTTAATTAGTTAAAAGATAAATCCGCTCGACAATCTGTGACAGTCAAACTCCTATGTCAAGGTCAAAGGGTCAAAGTGGTTGGTATCCAAAGGAAGGTGATGTCACAAGGATTACATATGTGAAGTATGAGAGCCCTAGCTCTAACCATTCAAAAGTTATGGCCAAGGTTAAAGTTTTTCAAAAGTAGATCAAACTCCTAGAACAAGGTCAAAAGGTCAAAGTGGTTGTTATTAAAAAAAAGGTCTTGTCACAAGGATTACATATGTGAAGTATGAAAGCCCTAGCTTCAACCATTCAAAAGTTATGGCCAGGGTTAAAGTTTTTCAAAAGTAGGTCAAACTCCTATGTCAAGGTCAAAGGGTCAAAGTGGTTGGTATCCAAAGGAAGGAGATGTCACAAGGAATACACATGTGAAGTTTGAAAGCCCTAGCTTCAACCATTCAAAAGTTATGACCAAGGTTAAAATTTTTCAAAGATAGATCAAACTCCTAGGTCAAGGTCAAAAGGTCAAAGTGGTTGTTAATAAAAAAAGGTCTTGTCACAAGGATTACATATGTGAAGTATGAAAGCCCTAGCTCCAACCATTCAAAAGTTATGGCCAAGGTTAAAGTTTTTCAAAAGTAGGTCAAACTCCTAGGTCAAGGTTAAAGGGTCAAAGAGGTTGATATCCAGAGGAAGGTCTTGTCACAAGGAATACACTTGTGAAGTTTGAAACCCCAAGCACCAACTGTTCAAAAGTTATGGCCAATGTTAAAGTTTTTCAAAAGTAGGTCAAACTCCAAGGTCAAGGTCAAAAGGTCAAAGTTGTTGACATCCAAAGGAAGGCCTTATTACAAAGAATACACATGTGAAGTTTGAAACCCCAAGCACCATCTGTTCAGAAGTTATGGCCAAGGTTAAAGTCTCATAAAATTTTGCAAAAGTGGGTCAAACTCCAAGGTCAAGGTCAAAAAGTCAAATATGATGGTACCCAAAGAAAGGTCTTGTCACAGGGAATGCACATGTGAAATATGAAAGTCATAGTTCCAACCAATCAAAAGTTATGGACAAGGTTAAAGTTGACAACAGACAGACAGACAAACAGACAAACGGACAAACAGACAGACAGGCCAAAAACAATATACCCCCAGGATCTTTCGATCCGGGGGCATAAAAATATTGAAACTAACTTATACATCTCCTTCATGCCGGTAAATCCTTTCTCATCAGGAACAAGAAGAGCCCCATCTCCAACATACACCTGAGTAACATCACTGCCATAAAAATCTGGTAGGTAAAACTTATGCTTGGCAGCACTAGAAGCTCTCACAGAACATACAGATGGTGAAACACTGCCTAACTGTAAAAAAAAAAATCAAATAAAAAAATATGAAAACATTTTTTTAGCACACCTCTGAACTGCCATTTATGCAGATACTTACACAAGTGTTTCCCTGACTTCTAGTTATCACCTCCCTAAGTCTCACCCTCTGTCCTGAATTTTTCAGCTGGAACAATCGACCAGCACTCGGCTTCACAGTTCGTGAAGACTTTATCATATCCTCCTGTTTATTCATGGCTGTGTTCAGAGCGTTTAAGTACCCATCTTTGTTAACTCCATCAGTCCTACTAGGTATACTTTGCTCTGGACATGAAGTGTGTTGAGTACTTGGTTTATTCACTGTTTTATTTATTGATAAGGAGGAGAGGGGTTGACCACATGGCTTTGTTTTGGGTACAAACACAGGCTGCACTGATTTAACCACAGGGTTAGGTGGGGTGGTAATAGAGCCTGTTCCTGCTTTGTATGGGGTTCTGAAGGTGGAACTTTGTATAGTTGAAGCATGAGTTGTTTGTTTCTTGGCTTCCTCTGCCTTGATTTGAGCATTCCTAGAAATGGCACATAAAAATGTACTAGTAACTGATATAAAAATTAACAATTTAAAAACACATAAGGTATCACAAATCACAAACAAGTACAAACCTGATATGGGCATCAATTGGGTTTTCACACTTTAATGGTTTACTGTAGAAATTTGATCTGTCCTTAGTATAACCTAATCAGAGAAATAAAATATTTCTTAGCTTTCTAAACAAGCACATAATCAGCATATAAAAGCATAGCTGAATACACATATACAGCAAATATAATGTAACAAGTAAAATACCTTCAGGAACTGTTGAAAGTGCAGCCAAATTCTTCCTCTCAGTTGAAATGCCACCTACAATTCAGATGAAACAAATATCTGAGATACACAACTATAAAACTTTCATGTATGTAACATTATTATGTTTATAAATAAACTGAGCTCAGTTTCTTCAAAATTTCATTTTTGACATCAAGAGACTTGGGTAATGTATATTGAATCTAATTACCTAGATTCTGGTTTGATTCGTCTTCAGAGTCCATCTTAATTTTCTTGTTGGGAGTCTCCATGTCATCAAAGAAATCATCAGGCAGCACGAGATTGTCATACTCCCCGGGATCTCCCACGTCTTTGTTCCTTGGCCTCTTGGGAGTCAGCATGTCCTCTAACTTCCTTTTCTGAGTATTTATCTGAGACACCACACTAGATCCATCACAACTGTGTCTTGTTGGTTTGTCAATATTCCCTTCATTGTTTTCATCTAATCTTTTCTGAGCCATTTCAAGAGACTCTTTAGTCACTGCAATGGATTTCACACTAGCACTTTGGAAAGGCGAGATCTCGGGATGTGTTTTTCCATTATCCAAAGCTTTTGAAGATTGTTCCTTTGAATCCGTTTCACAGTTTTCTGCTAGCTTAGAACGCACCATATCAAGTGATTTCTGAGATACTGAGATACTTTTGCCACTAGCACTCTGAAAAGGAGAAAATGGCTTTTCCTTCAACCTTGGTTCTACAGTTGTACTATCTGATGTTTCCATTTCATGCTTATCTGCAAATTTTGCTTTCATCACCTCTTGAGATTTTTGAGACAATGAAACGGATTTAACACTATCCATTTGAAATCGAGAAAAGTTCTTTCTCTCTGTTGTGAGAAGACTGACTTCATCATTATCTTCACTGAAGAATGATTTGGTGGATTCTAAAGCTGCAGATGACACAGAAATCTGTTTTCCAGATGCACTCATAAATGGACAAGCTACAATATTTGCAGAAGACTTCTCAATGGGTTTTGCATTTTCATTTTTATTTAAGGTCTTTATATTTTGCTCACAGTCATCTAACTTTTTCATTTCACATCTTATATGAACTAGAGCCTGATCAGATACATGCACGCTTTTGCCTGAGGCACTGATAAAAGGACTAAGTGAAACAGATGACTGTACACTTTCATTCTCCTTTCCTGGCTTGCTCTGAAATTTTTGTAGAACATTAAGTGATTTGGCAGCAGCTTTTGGATCATTTAACTTGGGAACAGCTTGAATATTTTCTGATGTCTCTTTAAGAGTTACCATTGAATCTGTGTTCTCTATTGAATTTGTGTCCTTTGTAACAGTTTGTGAAAAATTGTCATGAAGGAATAATTTTTCCAATTCAGATTCTGGAAAATTGTCATTATTTTCTTCAGTTGAAGAGGTCCAAAGTTTTTTGGCTTCAGCAACAGCTTTTTCATCCACTTTAACCACCTTCCCTGATGCTGTTTGAAACCCATGAAATGAAAACTTATCTTGACTTGGTTCATTCCTAGCAATGTCACATGGACTGATAGATATTTGAATATTATCTGCTGAAAAATTTTCTAATGACTTCTTTGATTTTGAAAAGGCACTTTTACTGATGTCCACAAGTTTTATAGGGTTGAACCTGTCCACATTTGCATGTTCCCCCATGGAACTTTTCATCCCATCCTTGTTTTTATTCCCACTGGGTACATCAAGGGGCTTCTCCCATAATTTCTTGGCTTCCAAAATGGAATCATCACATACACTTACAGTTTTGCCAGAAGCTGTATGAAATCCTTGGAATGTTTCACTTTTACTGTTTCTATGTACAGGCTTCAGAAAATCTTCTCCAAGAGATTTTTCCCATAATTCTGTTGCTACAGATAGAGATTGCTTATCCACACTTACACTTTTTCCTGAAGCAGTCTGAAATCCTTTGAATTCCCCTGTCATATCATATCCTTCATCTTCTACTGCAGAGGAATTTCCTGTCTTAGGTTTATCACTTGCTTCATTTAAAGTTTCTTCTATTGTTTGACACATATTTACAGTTTTTCCTTCAAAGTCAGTACTGCAAGAATCTGAAAGATCAGCATGTAGAATTACTTCTTTATCTTTGAATGTAATCTCAGGATCAAGATCATCAAATTTATCTGAAATTTCAACTGTCTGTTTTTCCCATAATTCCTTTGCCTTCTTCAAACTCTTGTCATCAATGCTGACTGTTTTACCAGAAGCAGTTTGAAATCCACTAAAACTGGATTCTGTCATTCCAGCTGATGATTTTATAACTTGCTTATCAACTGGTTCAGTACAATCTTTCAGCTTATTACAAGATGGGGAAGGTACTCTTTCTTCTTTTCTTTCTACAGATACTCTACTTTCATTTGCATCACTTACATGGACTTTCCTCTCAGCTATAGCTTCCAGGGTAAATTTTTGGGAGATTTCCATCTCTTCATCAAACATATCATTCAGAAACAGATTGCTTAAATCTGCACTGTCATCAGGTTTTTCAGCATCTGTTTCTTTCTGGTTACTATTTTCATTCATTTTCCTCTCCTCGCTGCTTTCTGTCTGAGGGGTAGACTCTGTAAGTTCACTTTTGTGCATTTTATTTTTAGAGGATACCTCAGATTTAGTCTCATCTAGCCTTTTTACAACATTAGATGCTTTATGTGTTGAGTCTTTTGATTTTGGCTTGGCTAAAATTTTAGGTGGTTTAAATGGCCTAAAACCTTTAGGAATGTTTGAACCAGGGGGAAATTTGGCAGCAATTGAGGAAGATTTCATCAGCTGATCAGTTTTCTGTGGCTTCAAGGGGAAACCACTCGTTGGTTTTGATTTATGATCACTGATTCCTTTGTTCTTCATTCCAGAAAATAAAGTTTGAATAATTTCTTCTTCATCAATGTTAGTGAAATGTTCTTCCTTACCATCCAATTTTTTGGAAACTGCTTTGCTTTCTATTGGACCAATTTTTGCACTGCTAAATTCCTTCCCACCAGCTGTCTCAAATCCTGTGAATGAGTTTGAGTCAAGATTATCATGGACTTGAAATTCCTCAAATATATCTGAGAATATGTTTTTTCCCCTTGCTTTCAGATTTCCAGAATCTACATTTCTTGAGGATACTGCAGTGTTAGTAAAACCTTCTCTGAGATGAAGTTTGTTTGCACTGGAGAAACCTTTAAAATGTGTCCCAGTCATCAAATCAGCTTCTTCCCTGTCCCCAGATGGCATTATTTCTGAAGCATTACTGTCACACCCTGTATCTGGAAATTCTTTTGCATCACCCTCTTCAGAGATAATCATCTGAGCCTTTCTGAGAGAACTTTCACTTAGTTCTACTTTCTTTCCACTTGCTGTATGGAATCCTTGAAAACCAGCAGTACACTCTGAAGACATTTCCATATTGTCTTCCTCTACTTGTTCAAATTTTGTTCTGCTTTGGGAATGAAGTAGATAAAGTTTTTCTGTAGGTGCTTTCTCTGAATGGGTCTCCTTCACAGTTCTCTCCCCTGTATCACCAGTATCCACTTCTAATATTGCTCTTGCTTTCAGTAAAGCATCTTTTGTTTGAGAAAACTTTTTACCACCTGCTGTGCAGAATCCCTCAAATATCTCTAGGGTTTCCCCAGCTGTATCTGTTGCTGATTTATCATTAGAAACTTGACAAGGGAGATAACTAGGTTTTGTGTAGTAAATGGAGGGGTCTTCTGAAGGCTTGTCAGGATTAGACATGGTGGATGGTATGTTTAGATTTCTGTCTTGATTCATATTTGGTAATGTACTTACTTTCTCTGATCTGACACTATTACACTTTTGCTCTATTCCACAATCCTCTGTAACGACTTTCACAGGGACAGAGATGTCTTTTGAACAGTCCTGTATAAAAGGAAGTATACAATACATGAATAATAACTTTTGAACAAATCAAGAAATACATGTATATCTAGCCAAGTTTTTACTAGCTGATTATTTTTTACTCAAAGGTGTTTTTCAAAAAGGAAAGGAAAAAATTATTCCAAATAACTTGCCTTCTTTTTGACTACTTTCTGCATTGATGAGAATTTCTGAAACCCTGTGGAAATGAATGAAGCTGTGAATAAACTTTCAAAGCATTCAATAAACATAGGTAATCAAAAAAGCTCACCACTAAAAATGTTATCTATGAGTAAAGCTTAGTGGAACAGCAAATGAATACTCAGTAAGAACCGTTTGTTACATGCCAGTTTGTCATTACACATCAAACAACTAACCGTTCACGGTAGCTCAGTCGGTAGAGCGCTCGCTCCGTGATCGGGAGGTCGTGAGTTCGAATCTCGGCCACGACTGACCTAAGTCGATAAAAAATGGGTAGCAACTGTTCCTTCGCCATGCGCTCGGCACTTTGAAGTGAAAGTTGCGGGTCCTTCGGATGAGACCTTAAAAACCGAGGCCCCGTGTCACGGCAGGCGTTGGCACGATAAAGATCCCTCACTGCTCAATGGCCCTGAGTGCCGAGTAAAGGTCAAAATTTGAAGCCCTTCACCGGTATAAGGTGACGTCTCTATATGAGTGAAAAATTCTCGAATGGGACGTAAAACAACATACAATCAATCAATCAATCAAACAACTAAAAACTAGGGATGTCAATTTTGTCAATAATTCATATTCGAATATTCAATGAAAGTATTCGAATATATTCGAATATTCGATAAAATAAATCAAATCTGTTTTATTTTAAATATGCATCATCCTACTCTCATGAAAGGTTTAGCGTAGGTATACTTATATTGGAAGTAAAATTGTATGAAGACTTTTGTAGGTGTACAATAAAAAATTCCATTTGACATTTGTCAATATTTAAAATAAATAATTGATTTAAATGTAGAGAAGTATAATTTTAAGAAGTGAAACATGTGTATTTATAGAAGCTTCAACTGAGGAACCAGTCGTCTTATCAAAGGCAAGATAGTCGTAACGGTATACTGTTCAGATTTCAATATGTGTAATAAATTACAATTATCTGCCTAATAAGAGATATGACAATAATCTTTGGTGTAATGTTTTTAGAATATAAACAAATATTTCCGTAGACAATTGTCATAGGTAATTAACTATTTTCCCGATATTATCAAGTAATTTACACATTTATTCTTAAATTGAGCCCTTTACATTAATTACAGACAAATCCTATCGGACATTCATTCATTGATCAATTAAATTTATTTTGGTCGTGTATACTCTTCACGTCTTTTAGACATTCTAAGTAGGTTTTTCTTTTGTTGTCCTCGATTCTAGATTCGACTGTATCTAACTAATAAAAACATTGAAGTAATTTTTTTATTATACATAAAGCATTATTGTAGAATTCTTTACCATCTTACTCAAAACGAAATACATGTAATTTAGAGATCTATAAGATAAGAAAGTAGTGAAAGAAATCAGGCGATCGAAATTGATCGCTAGTAAATTAAACAGGGGTAATTCCAGCACTGTTCTAATCAAAATTTACAAATTCACAGTACTTCTTTTTATGAAATCTGAAAAACGCCGAATATTCGAATCTTAAATTCATATTCGAATATCAACTTATCGAATGAATATTCGAATGTTCGAATATTCGTTGCCATCCCTACTAAAAACACACACACCAATGTTAAACAAGCAGGACAAAATGTGTCTCTATAATCTTTATCCATGCAAGTTTGGTAGTCAGATAGTTACAGAAAAACTCATTTTGTACAAACACAGATATAGCAAAGTTTTTGAGGTCCCTGTCACCATTCTTAACATTTCCTTGTAAAATGTTTGGTTATACATGTAATGAATTCTAATATAATGAATTTAATATAGCGAGTTGCTTTTGTGTCCCATTAAGGTTAAAAATAATGCAATTTATATCTTTTTATATAACAAATTTTTTTAACATCCCTGACTTTAAATTATCAACCTGAAATTATTTTTCATAAATATTTACATGAATAACAGACATTTGATTACACAGAAAACTAAATTCTTCAAGGTAGATTTTGTATTTAACACTCAAGTGAGAATATATCAGTAGTATAAAAAGGAAAATACAGTATGTGTATTGTGAATTCCATATATATGTATACTTTTACAAATTCCACAAACAGATGAAACAGATTAGGGATATAACAAAGGAAATCTGCCTGTCCCCAGGACTTTGCTATAAGTGTACTTGGAAACGGGTCTGCTTAAAACTCTTTGATCTTTTGCATCCCAAAATGCATCATCAGTGCAATTAATTCAGCTTATTAGGAATGGATCTGTTCAAAAACTGTTTACTGATCACCCATCCCAAAAATATAGGAGTAAGTCAGGTATTGTGCATCCTTATATGCATCAGCCTTACAAGTTGGTCCAGGTAGGGCTAATAATTACAACTCCAAGCATATTAACCTGGAAGAGTGACACCACAACATTGTCATGAGCAAAAAAATTATCAAGTTAAATTTCTTAACTCTGAAATACTCTCTATCAAATTCAGAACATAGAAGTACAATCCCCCAATCTTCATAATACCTTGAGTTGAACTGACTTTGGGGTTTTCAGTCTGTGCTGACCTGTTGACATCAATCTCTAGTCTCTGACTCACTATTGTTTCATCCTTCTGTATTGCCAAGGAATCCCCAGGTTCATCTGCTATAATGTGATGGCTTTGGAGAGGTGACTCCACTTCTTTAAAGCCATATACAGTCTTGGGGCAAGATTTTGTGATCTGGTTATTGGTAGGATATGAAAATTTTCTGTTCTTACACCTAAGGCTGGATACATTAGAGCTGACTGGAGTTTCCTTTGGTTTAGAATTTAAAAGCTTGTGATCTTCTTCTGACTTTGTTTTGCATGCTTTGTCACTAGACTTTACTTGCTGTTTCTGAATATTATCAATGATTTTGGGGGATTTATCACATTTGTTTAGTAATGTATTAGAATGCACCCTATTCTCATCAAATGTTAATAGATTTTCATTATTAAGGGAACACATCTCATTCAATGAAGTTGGTGATACTTGCGAAAACAAATCATCTACATCCTCTGTAGTCACATCACTTTCTTCATTTGAGTGGGAGATCAATTCCTTGTTTAATTTTAAATGACTTGAATGGTCAGATGAGCTTTGTTCAAAGGACTGACCAGTTACCTCTATTTTTATTTCTTTGACAAGCTCACTGTTTTCAGTACAAACTTCATTAGACTCTTTAGCAGTGTCATCAGTATGACTAAAGGTTACACGTTTCCTTGTACTTGATCGTCTAGTCCTCCTTTTCTCGTTAGATAAAATTGACTTGACTCTCTTGTTACTTTCCATAGGAGTCTTGTACATTTCTGCATTGGGCCTATCTTTAACATCCTTTACTGGTGAGGATGATGAGATGGGAGAATTCTTTATAGTAATGCCAACTGTTGAATCCTCCCATGACTTCCTCTTCTGTCCTCTATTTGGAGCACACCGACGCTTTCCAACAGATTTGGAGGGTGGATCAAAGAAATCAGAGAGAGTTTCATCAATAACCTCTTGCTTCAGGGTCACAGCTTTATGTTCAATCAAGGAAATACTATCCTTTTCTACAGAGCTTGAAGATTTTTCATTCCTACTTGGCAGAATATTCTCGACTGTATCTGAATCCTCTGGTAAGAGTTCTTGAGAAAATATAGGCTCACTCTCCCACTCTGTAGGTTCAGATTTCACAGGGATGTCAGCTAATTCTTTGATCTCTGGGTTACTTTCTATATCCTCCTTTGATTCTGCCCTCTGTTCTTGTTCATTAAAACTACAGCACAGTTCATCCTGACTCTTAACAAGTCCCGGTGAAAACAACGCCCTAGGTACTTTCTGGAAAGGTTAGTATAAGTATGCTTTAAAAAATCAAAATCATACGAGGGGTGATCAAAAAGTTCGTGAACTTTTTGATCACGCCTTGTATAAACAAAAAATAACAGAACTGTTGGTCGCCAAATTTTGTGGAATCTTTTTTTCCACAAGATAATTACATGTATTTGGTTTTTATAGGTGAGAATAAATTTTCACAAAGTCTGATTAATGTTGTACATGTATATGAACTTTGATTTATAATTATACGAGAATATGATATTTTTGCAAGCAGACAGTCTTGCATAATTAAATGGAAGTACAGTTTTTACGGATAAAAAGTGATTTACAGTTTTCAACACTAATCAATACAACTGCTAGAAAAAGCAAAATTTAGATTATTATGCATAGTCTTTTAAATAAGACAGACTACTGAAGTACAATATTCTTAATGCAGATTTCAAATAATTTGTTCTAAAATTTTGCTCTGAAAATTGCTATACATCTCAAATAAGAAGTCCATGGGCCACAACACTCACGTGAGAAACTCCCTGGTCATGCTTGACCCCAAATGTATAATTTAAACAATTTTGAATCTACACTACCTGAATATGCTTGCATATTGATATGAACTAATCATGGTCCTGCTGTTCTTGAGAGGATTTTAAAGGTATTATTCCTACATAACCCCATGTAAACCTTTGATCCCTATCCCCCTATCCTACATGATTTATATAAACTTGAATCTACATTGTATCGGAAAGCCTTAAAATAAATTTTATTTTCTCTGGGACAGTGGTTCTTAAGATAGCTAAATGACCCCACCCTATTTTTGCCTTTTCCTGATTATCCTCCCCAGGAAGGGGGTATGACCACTTTAAGAAACTGATTCTTATTCATCAAAGGATACTTTGTGCCAAGTTTGGATGAAACTGATCCAGTAATTATGAAGAAGATAAAAATATGAATAGTTTCGATAAAGATGTAACTGACAATAATGACAGACAATGGACGAATTTCTATCAGAAATGCTCACTTGAGCCTTTGGTCCAGGTGAGCTAAAAATCATTAACAGCCACATGTATTTTTAAATTCTTTCAATTTACAATCTTTTCCAAATTCTTTTTCAATATTTACCTTCTGTTTTCCTACATCTGTGTATTCTTTTTCACATGAATCTGAAAATAAAATATATATCTCCAGCTGATTCAATGATCGGGTGCATAAATAGTGAAGAGACTTCAAACAAACATAAACCATTGTGACATTTTACTTTAACTCTTACTATTTAATCAATCAAAATAAAACAACTGAATAAGTAGAACAACAGCAATCAGAAAATGCAAGCTCATTCCAATGTCTGATCATATGATAACACAATTTATTTCCTCCAATATTCATCTTAATGTTACATCCAATTAGAATGTGGATCTTCTGAGCATGTAAGTTATTCAATCACATAGGGCACGTAACAAACACCATACTTTTTTTTGATTTCTGCTGAACAATTTCTCTGCAATTACCTCTTTGTCCATGCTTTAATTTTTGGCATCTCAAAATTCTTCACTGCTGTTTACAAGTTTCAAGTATAAAAATCTCTTTACATGTGAGCATCATTTAATAATAGAATTTTTTGCCAAAGGATTAAATATATTGTCTAGATTAACAACAAGAAAAAATTATAATTCATTTGGGAAACACATTGTACCATATCGATAACATTATGGAAAGAGATTTGGTTTTAATACAATATATCATAATTTGAAAGCATTGAATAACTGATTTGTATACTGCATGCATTTATATACATGGAAATTTTTGTCCCAGATTTTTGCCCTTTTTTGTCCTCAACACAAAGAAGAGAATTTAATACATGACAAATTCAAAGACAGAGTAATCTCTTCAACACAACAGTCTTGGCAAAGAGCTAGGTTCACTTTATGCATAAAATGGCCTTGTAGATAAACCAATTTATCCACTAACAAACTATGTCCCTTTCTCAACATCAATATAAAGTAGAGACTTGGCGCTTTCAGTTTGTATATAAAAGTTTCCTCTAAAGAGTCCAGGTACTCGAAAACAGGTTGTGTGAAATTGCGATATTCTTGAATTTTGCAGAAAACAGGTGAATTTCAGAACCTTCAACAAAGAATTAAAATATGAGCACACCCCTCGATCCAAAAATTACAATGTATTTTATAATCTTAATAAGCAGTTCTTTCGTAATATATTTGCACATTTTGGATCGGAGGTTGTGCTGTATACGAAATATTGAAAATAGCATCATATTTTGGCCATTTTTGAAGAAATATTCGGGATATGTGAATAATGACGCAATTCATGACGTCATAATGCATTGACTATCAAGAAAATTACATCATTTTTAGTAGAAATTCAGTCACCAAGTGTTCAAGTGATATTTATTGCCTTGTCGACTAAAACTATGCAGTTTTAATTTTTGCAGAAATTTACAGGGCCAAAAAAGGCCCTAAGTGGCCCTTGCTCTTTAAAATGAGACAAAATGTTTGTGTGATATGGCAAAAATAACCCTGTATAGAGTATTTTTTTTATATATATAAAAGATGTTTTAAAAGCTTGATCATTATTTTGATTAATAAAAACATAGGTAATCAAAGATTACGAAGCTCACCTCGACGAATGTTATCTACATGTAAGGCAAATTTCACATCATATTTTTTTTCTAGTTAGGGTACATCCCAAGATCAATGGCCATGCAAGTTTGATTTAATTATAGACCTGCTCAAAAACTTTTGACCTGTTTAGTAATCAAGAAAATTTTGGTCACTTCCAACATCCAAAGCAAGTCTGGAAGTTTTCATCCTTAGATGCACCATCTATGCAAGTTTAATCATAACAGGCCATAATATTATATAGCTACTCCAAAAAATTACCCTGGTCACTCATCTGGAAAATGTACATCAGATTCAGAATCCAAGGCAAGTCTGGAAGTGTCCATCCCTAGATACATCATCCATGCTAATTTGGTTAAAATATGGCTAAAATTCACTCATGTGGAAAATCTAGGTCAGATCCAGCATTCGAAGCAGGTTGGTTAGTGTACATCCCTAGATGCATCATCCATGAAAGTTTGGTCCAGGTAGGGCTTATAGTTACTTGGAAACGAGACTACTCCTAAATCTAAACCTGGTCTCACATGTGGAAAATCTAGGTCAGATCCAGCATCCGAAGCAAGTGTGGTAGTGTCCATCCCTGGATGCATCATCCATGCAAGTTTGGTCCGGGTAGGGCTTATAGTTACTTGGGAATGGACCTGCTCCTAAAACTTTAACCTGGTCACTCATCTGGAAAATCTAGGTCAGATCCAGCATCCGAAGCAAGTGTGGTAGTGTCCATCCCTAGATGCATCATCCATGCAAGTTTGGTCAAGGTAGGGCTTATAGTTACTTGGGAATGGACCTGCTCCTTAAACTTTAACCTGGTCACTCATCCGGAAAATCTAGTTCAGATCCAGCATCCGAAATAAGTGTGGCCATGTCCATCCCTAGATGCATCATCCATGCAAGTTTGGTCCAGGTAGGGCTTATAGTTACTTGGGAATGGACCTGCTCCTTAAACTTTAACCTGGTCACTCATCTGGAAAATCTAGGTCAGATCCAGCATCCGAAGCAAGTGTGGTAGTGTCCATCCCTAGATGCATCATCCATGCAAGTTTGGTCAAGGTAGGGCTTATAGTTACTTGGGAATGGACCTGCTCCTTAAACTTTAACCTGGTCACTCATCCGGAAAATCTAGTTCAGATCCAGCATCCGAAGTAAGTGTGGCCATGTCCATCCCTAGATGCATCATCCATGCAAGTTTGGTCCAGGTAGGGCTTATAGTTACTTGGGAATGGACTTGCTCCTAAAACTTTAACCTGGTCACTCATCTGGAAAATCTAGGTCAGATCCAGCATCCGAAGCAAGTGTGGTAGTGTCCATCCCTAGATGCATCATTCATGCAAGTTTGGTCCAGGTAGGGCTTATAGTTACTTGGGAATGGACCTGCTCCTAAAACTTTAACCTGGTCACTCATCCGGAAAATCTAGGTCAGATCCAGCATCCGAAGCAAGTGTGGTAGTGTCCATCCCTAGATGCATCATCCATGCAAGTTCGGTCCAGGTAGGGCTTATAGTTACTTGGGAATGGACCTGCTCCTAAAACTTTAACCTGGTCACTCATCAAGAAAATCTAGGTCAGATCCAGCATCCGAAGCAAGTGTGGTAGTGTCCATCCCTAGATGCATCATCCATGCAAGTTTGGTCCAGGTAGGGCTTATAGTTACTTGGGAATGGACCTGCTCCTAAAACTTTAACCTGGTCACTCATCTGGAAAATCTAGGTCAGATCCAGCATCCGAAGCAAGTGTGGTAGTGTCCATTCCTAGATGCATCATCCATGCAAGTTTGGTCAAGGTAGGGCTTATAGTTACTTGGGAATGGACCTGCTCCTAAAACTTTAACCTGGTCACTCATCTGGAAAATCTAGGTCAGATCCAGCATCCGAAGCAAGTGTGGTAGTGTCCATCCCTAGATGCATCATCCATGCAAGTTCGGTCCAGGTAGGGCTTATAGTTACTTGGGAATGGACCTGCTCCTAAAACTTTAACCTGGTCACTCATCTGGAAAATCTAGGTCAGATCCAGCATCCGAAGCAAGTGTGGTAGTGTCCATCCCTAGATGCATCATCCATGCAAGTTTGGTCCAGGTAGGGCTTATAGTTACTTGGGAATGGGACTTGCTCCTAAAACTTTAACCTGGGACGCCGACGCTAACGCCGACGCCGGGGGTATAGCATAAGCTCATCTCGACTTCGTCGAGGTGAGCTAAAAATCAGATTTTGTCATTTAAGTTACAATGCTTCTTTTCAGTAAAATAACATCAATACACAAATGCAACATTTTATGTGAAAATTAATCAATCTATCATATCTGAATCTTAATTTATTTAAACAACAAAATGCTTTCTTTGGTTGTTAGTATGAGCATTAACATTGCAGCTATTGCAGAAAAAATACTTAACCCAAGTAAGCGGGTTATGTTAATTTTTTCACAATAGCTGCAACTTTAATTCCCATACTAACAAATAAAGAGACATTTTCTTGTATATATTTATGTCTGTTGTATATATTTATGTCTGTTGTATATATTTATGTCTGTTGAATATATTTATGTCTGTTGTATATATTTATGTCTGTTGTTTATATTTATGTCTGTTGTTTATATTTATGTCTGTGTAAATAATCATATAAAGTAGTATCAATTCAGTTAAATATTGTATTATTGATGTATGTTTTATTGATGGAAGAGTCACTGCTCCAGAAATCTATACAGGTGGCTTTCTTAGCCGTGTTAAAGTACTGATATTAAAATGATCACAATTTTCATGAAAAATAAAGAGATAATATTCAGTGGATGTAAATATTAACAAATTATACATCCTACATATTTACTTCAATATTATGTAGATGAAGAATGGAGAAAAGAAAATGAATCAAATAGCTAATGCATTAGCATACTCCTCAGTGTATCAGAATAACCTGTTTCCTTTTTTTAAAACCTGCATTTACCATTCTTAAAATTGTTGCAGACTTCTGACATATACCTGCTATTTAAATTATAAAGTTAAAATAAATCAGGTTAGGTCTTCCTGATATCTATTCTAGTAGCCAAGTATTCACCATTTTTTCTTGAAAAACTAAATTTGCTGTGGACTTGTGGATTTACCCATGTGTCAAGACCTAACAACCTTGACAATTTATCAACTACTTTCTTCGTATTTATATGTATCTATAAAGAAGAGAAATCAGCAAAACCAAGAACTCATATCCCATCCAAATTAGAATGATTTTAGGCAAGTGTCTTCTATTTTAATTGGTTCTGCTATACCTTGCCTGACAGCTGGAGATATGGAGAGATGGGAGGGTGTTGCCAGGGAACTTGTCCACGATGCCACGGAATCGTTAGCTGTGATCCCCAGACTTCTAATTAAAGCATCCTCAGAAGTTATGGTAGGGGATAATGCTCCAACCTCCCTACCTTGTGGACTGAAATAACGACATACACATGTATCCCAGTCATTTTACTATGGCAAACTAATTTTGTCAAAAAACAGAAGTACCCATAATTATGCATGAACGCATTACCCTATTACTTCATGAATTCCAACTTTACAGTGCAATAAATTTGCGCAAACATTTTCATGCATAGGTTTTTAATAACCCACAAGCTGATCTTGTTCCATACCTGAGACCAAGAGATGGTTGTAGCCAATCAGCATGTGGACTGCTAGTAGTGGATTGAGAACTCAAAAGTCGCTCAAATGTGGAGACTTCTGGGGAAGATTCTAAAGACAATGAATAAACAAGAGGCCCATGAGCCTTGATGGTCACCTGAGTATCATGAGTTTTTTTTGGCTCCATCCAGATCTAGAACTCTGGACTCATGTGATAAAAATTTGACAGTTTGGTGAAGACTCAGTTTCGAAGGAGAGAAGGTGTACAATGTATGAAAAACTTCAATATATGACCAACTTAGCCCAGACATAGGGTAAATTACTTTGAAATGTGATGCATTAAATTACTATTACATTGCAATTTTTCCATTACAAATACCATTTCCATTACTTTCATTTTAATAGAAAATTCAGGGTATGAAATGTACTGGATCTTTTCGCTTGAAAGCACACAGCTTACACAGTATCTTTAGCCTTGAGCAGTTTAGGGATAGAGACAAATATTAGATAACGTTATTCTATTAAACTGGTAATGAAAGGAGAAGCTGTGTGTAAGTGAGGTGAAATATATAGAAGATATTCAATGTTTTGTAGATGAATATTGAATTTATTTCACGAACTGGACAGGATTTTTTTATATTTTCACACGTGCGAAGCATGAGTGAAAATATAAAAAATCCTGTCTCACGAGTGAAATTAATTCCATATTCATCTAAACATCGAATTTTCTGTTTATTACATTTCCTTAGATTTTTCCTCTGTCTTTTCATAACAAAGTGTCATAGGCTGTGGTGTCATAGTTGAGCGGTTGAGAGGTCATAGCTACAAGCAATTGTGAGATTGAAAAACGTTGTAAACATGGATTTTTAATGAAATATTTGGAAAAACTTTGGCAGTATAACTATAAGTCTCTGTCAGGATGGCTCATTAACGCTATCTTATAAAAGACCAGGGATTTTTTTTTAAAAACACTGAAAGGAAAGAAAATCGTAAGTGTTGGCACACTTCTGATATTCTCACACTGTGACAATACCATTTTGATACCCTTTTACACTGTGTCAGAATATCACTTTATTCAGTAAATAAATTACAGTATTTCACTATTGTTGAAGAAAATGTAATAAATTATTATCTCCTGATAAAAACAATTACTATCAAAAAGGATCATTTATTTTAAACCAAAAGTAGAAAAAACTAGAAATATGTCCATAGGACATGAATGCCCCGCCAAGGGTATATTAGTAATGCAACATTTTAACACAAATTGAGAAAAGTGAGGTCAAGGTCAAAGGAAAGGTCAAGGTCAAAAAATATTGCTGCAGTTGAATAGCTTACATCAGTATGTATCAGCATATGACGTTTGATTCAGAAACTAATTTAAGAAAAGTGAGGTCAAGATCAAAGGAAAGGTCAAGATCAAAAAATGTTGATGTAGTTGAAAAGGTTACATCAGTATGTATTAGCATATGAAGTTTGATGAAAATATTATGAATGGTTTCTTTAAAACTGAGCTAAACACTAATTCAAGAAAAGTGAGGTCAAGGTCAAAGGAAAGGTCAAGGTCAAAAAATATTGATGCAGTTGAATAGCTCTCATCGGTATGTATCAGCATATGAAGTTTGACACTAATTTAAGAAAAGTGAGGTCAAGGTCAAAGGAAAGGTCAAGGTCAAAAAATCTTGATGCAGTTGAAAAGGTTACATCAGTATGTATTAGCATATGAAGTTTGATGAAAATATTATGAATGTTTTTTTTTAAAACTGAGCTAAACACTAATTTAAGAAAAGTGAGGTCAAGGTCAAAGGAAAGGTCAAGGTCAAAAAATGTTGATGCAGTTGCATAGCCCTCATCAATATCTATCAGCATATGAAGTTTGATAAAAATATCTTGCCAATGGATAGTTTCTTTGAAACTGAGCTTTGAACAGAGCTAAACGCAAAGTGTGACGGAAGGACAGACGGAAGGACGGAAGACGGACATGACAAACACTATATGCCCCGGCCATATTCATGGCGGGGCATAAAAATCATGATTGATGACAAAAAGTAAAGATTTTACCTGAAATTAAAAGTCAGAACAATTTAAAAACAGGCTTGGGAAAAAAAAACCCAAAGTATATACAATGTCAATTGCAATTTCACTGAATGATGTCATTAATGTTAATACACCAGCGGTCCACCTTTCTAATCTGTAATGAATTTTTAATGGAATTTACATCCTTTACAAACTTTATATTTTGTGATATGATTAAAGTTGTTACTTGATAGATAGATTATTTTCTATATCAGAATAATGCCTTTCACATTTTTCCATGTGTGCCCCCCTCCCCCCCTTCTGAAAAAAGGAAAAACACTGCATGTATGATGATAACAATTATCAATTTTTTGGGCCGTTAGTAAATGCTTCCTTAAAAAGAAACTTTTCAGAGTATCCTTGTTCTGCAATCAAGTTCCTCTCTGATTCTTGAATTATTATATGCCCTTTTTAAGGTCCATAAAAAAACCCCACTCAATCTAAGTTTACTGAGCTGGTGCCTAAAAGAATTGGCCTGGTACCTAAAGTTTAAAAGGTCATTTCGAGGCCTGATATTACACTCAGCAAAATACAGTAAATCTGATAACGTACAGGGTTTGACATTTACTTTCACGAGTACTAGACTAGTCGGGCTACTTCCCATAATTTTTACTAGCCCTGATCGTAAAATCACTAGCCCTGACCAAACCTGCAAATTTAATTCTTATAATCTCTAATTTTGAGGTAATTTTGAAATCGTCTCTAGCGCATGTCAAGAATTTGACAGACTAGCCAATTGAGTGTGTTCATCAAGACATGCGAATATCATAAGCTTTAAAGATAATTCAACAAACTTTAAATAAAATTTGTATCCTAAATATTAATAAATTAAGTACAGAATATATTTTTTTTGGCAACTACTGTATACAGGGAAATTTTCGCCCCCATTTTATTTTCGCCCCTTTCGCCCTAATCACAGGTGGGCGAATTTAAAACGGGGCGAATTCATAGAAAACAAAATAATTTCTTAAACAGAACTGTGACTGGGCAAATTTAAACCGGGGCAAAATTGTTCCCAAGTGCAAAAGGGCGAAAATAGTACGGGGCGAAAATAACCCTGTATACAGTATTTATACAACATTGATAGTGAACGCTTGTTTCTACCGCAACTTGTTTATTACAGCTGTGGCTATATTTTCATGAACTATCTCTAAACGTGAGAAAAAGTACGATCTGCTTGCATGAAATGAAATATGGGTGTAATTGACAGAAAAATATAATACTTTTGAGAAATTATAAGCTCTTACTGATTTTTGAATTAATGTGTGTGTGTTTGGGTGTGTTTGTTGGGTGTGGGGGGAGGGGGGAGGTCGATGCACACTTCTGGTGCCTTTGGCTAAAACAGTGATTGTATCATACGGGGATTTTTTTCTTTACCATGTATTTACAATCAGACAAATAAGTAAATTTCTTTAAAAGTTTTTTGAATATTTATTTGGAAGACTGAAATGGAATTTAACAGTTATTTTATCAACATGACCAAACCATTCAGTCGGTAGAGCGCTCGCTCCATGATCGGGAGGTCGTGAGTTTGAATCTCGGCCGCGACAGACCTAAGTCAATAAAAAATGGGTAGCAACTGTTCCTTCGCCATGTGCTCGGCACTTTGAAGTGAAAGTTGCGGGTCCTTCGGATGAGATCTTAAAAACCGAGGCCCCGTGTCACGGCAGGCGTTGGCATGATAAAGATCCCTCACTGATCAATGGCCTTGAGTGCCGAGAAAAGGTCTAAATTTGAAGCCCTTCACCAGTATATAATGACATCTCTATATGAGTGAAAAATTCTCAAATGGGACGTTAAACAACATACAATCAATCAACATGACCAACTGGTCTAGTTCACGTACATTTTACACGACCGGACCACTCATTTACTAGACTGGGTCAGTCGGACATGCCTTAGTGTCAAACCCTGACGTAGGAGTTGTGAATCTCTGTTATTTATGTCTCTTATGATATATAATGCATTTCAATATATGACCAACATAGCCCTATCCTGGAGCCTGAACTCTGAGCCCTGAATTTCAAAATTTTGGTAAAGGGCTCATGGCATATTATAACCATGGCAACAGTATAACTGCTTCATGTCCAGGAGAAAGGATTGCATTAATTTTGATGGTTTTGGCCACACACCAGGAAGGCAGACACACAAAATTCACATTCTATACACAAACAAAAAAATGGTTGAAATTGGTTCAGTCATTTATAGGAAGAAAGCTAAAAATGTTCTAAAGTTTATGATGGATTCAAGATGAACGATGCACAATGGATGAAAACAGATGGCAATAGGTCACCTAGTGACTCAGATGACCAAAAAAAAAGATATATGCACGTATCATGATGCTGAATAAACATTTGATTCCTCTTGAAAAGACTAATAGTCAAGATAGTCTGTTCAACAAATGGGTAAAAGTTTTACACTGCAATTACCAAATTTCCTTCCTCTGTGGAATTTGAGGATATCTGGTGTGAGCTGGGAGGAACACTGCGACACAGGAGAAATAAATAAATCCCTCTCCTCCTCTCTCTTTTTGTCGTCAAGTCTCCGTAATGTAGCACTTTGTAGCCAGTCTTCACAACTGGGACCCACGGCTGCATAAGATCAATAATCATAAAACACATCAATTCTATTTGATTCAGCTAATCTTTATTTGAGAACAACACAAATAGGCAGACTTTTTTTTAAATTTTGACAAGTGATCCAATCAAACAATTGCATATACATACAAGTATATATATATATTTATTAATTACTCCTCAGAAGTGACTATCTATTTGAGAAAGAGGGAGATGGTGGGGCATTGCTCATTTTTAAACAGTTATTTTCTAAATCAAACTCACTTCACTTCATAAACTTATAAATGGTGAGTTTTGTAGAGTCCAGAGTTTTTGAAATGAAAAACAATTTACTGGTCAAGTGGACCAGTGATTTAGTGAAATTCACTGGTCCATCAGCATATTTGGGATACCACAATTAAAAAAAAAAGAGAAATTCAAAAACTGAAATTTTTTTTCATTCCAGTTACACATTACAGTAAAGAATAATTCTGACTACATATCTCTTTCATCTTCAATTTCTCTCACTATTTCTGTTTTAGGTTGTTCTTTTCTTTTTTTTTACTGAATATGAAACATTTTGTGAAAACTAATTGTCCAAAAAGTGCTGAAGGTTATTCTATCATACATGCACCCAGATTCAAACATTTTGATGATCTCACAAATAAGCTTAAAAACTGAACATTAAGAGGTTAAAATTCTGGAAAGGTTGAATTTTTTTACTAGTCACTCGGACTGATTACATGAAGAAAATTACTGGACTTTTGAAATATTCACCAGTTTTGATGGTGGGACCAGTGGATTTCAAAAACTCTGGTAGACCTTGATGGCAAGGGTCCTTGACCACAATTTTTTAAACAAAAATTTGTATCTTAAATAAGGGAGTGATGTAAACAGGGATGATCAAATGACAAATTGTTCTCTGACACAATTACTGAGAACCAACACTATAAATGCAGACAATTTTTTGAAAACTTTTGAAACTTCCAGTGTTCATTTGACAAGTCAAATCTAAAAACACAAATTCATTCAAATTTCCCAAATATTACTGTAGACCAGTTTTTACAAATGACCAAATGTTCATGAATTTACTAACATGTCACTGATACAGCGTAAGACATTATCAGATTAATGGGGTATTTCAATATTTTTCTTTCCTAACAAGGCAGCATTATCTAAGTATTAACATAATTTACCCTTTTTCCATCAGTCTTTATTACCAATCTGTTTAGCAAAATTAAAGCATACCTTCTTCTAATCTTTTCTTGGATCTTGAGAAACATTTCTTGGCTCTTTTACTGAGAGACAGCCTTAAAGTTTGATGATGTTCCCCACTTTTCCCACATGGCAATTTTTTTTCACTTTGTTCCATTTCAACTATTTCAAAATAAAATATGTCAGATTAAATTTAAATTCAGTTTGGAAAGCATACACAGGATTTTTTTTAAATATTTAAATTAAAACACATGTCAGATTAAATTTAAAATCAGTTTGAAAATCATAAACAGGATTTTTTTTAATTTTAAAATTAAAACAATGTATTTTTAATTATTTTATCATCATGTTTGTGTAAGATACTGTTTTAATTATTAAATATATAAAAGTAAAATTGCACTAATAAAAAAATTGTTTGCCATTGGGTGTATTTGATCTGGGGACCTCTGGATTGTTAACCGGGTGCTGACCCACTTGACCAGTCACACCTTGCACAGAATGTCCATTTAATTAATACTTATATAGAGGTATGTTTCATTTAAAAATTTTCAGAATTTTAGATTGCAATAATTTTGAATGATAGAAACTGGTTTATTAGGAATATAACTATAGTATGAAATTGATAAAAAGTAATTTTAAAAAATATATTTTTCAAAAATATAATGTTCTTAGTCTAACTTTGTCTTCCTGTTTTGAAAGTAATTATCTGAAGCCATATTTGCTTTGTTCGACCTAAAGAAAAATACATGAAAGATCTCCTGGACTGTTCTGTAATGTTGATGTGAACTTAATGTCACTCACTGGCTCAACTACAACACCTCCTGTTTAAATCCTTACTTAGGAACAGTCCTTTAAAGAAGGTTGTCAATAAAATATTTGGAAACCCATCAGTCTGGTTACATTTGTATTTGAAACAAGAGGCCCATGGGCCACATTGCTCACCTGAACATTTTGGCTAGTTCAGTATTGAAAAGTTTTAATATTAAAGTGGTTCTGGGATGGAGGGGGGGGGGGGGGGGGGGGTTATGATTTGAACAAACATTAATAATATCTTTGCTGTTCTTAAGAAGAAATTTTTATTGATTTTTCCTTTATATTCCTTTGTATAACTATGATCCCCTGTTATGACCCTTCTATACTCCTGGAGGGTCATGACTTGATCAAATTTGAATCTACATTATTTGCAGAGGAAGATTTTATTTTATTACGACCAATCACGGTTTCGTTGTTCTTGAGAATAAGATTTTTAAAGACTTTCCTATGTATTCCTATGCAAAACTTTGATCATCCATGTTGCCCCACCCTACCCCGGGGGGTCATGATTTGAACAAACTTGAATCTACACCATCTGAGGATGTTTCCATATAAATATGATCAATCATGGCTTTGCTGTTCTTGAAGAGAAGATTTTTTAAAGATTTTTCCCTATGTATTCCTATGTAAAACTTTGATCGCCCACTGTGGCCCCACCCTACCCCTGGGGGTCATGATTTGAACAAACTTGAATCTACACCACCTGAGGAAGCTTCCACATAAATATGACCAATCATGGCTTTGCTGTACTTGAGAAGATTTTTAAAGATTTTCCCTATGTATTCCTGAGTAAAACTTTGATCGCCACTATGGCCTTACCCTAGACCCGGGGGTCATGACTTGTATAAACTTGAATAAACACTACCTGAGGTTGATTCCACATGAGTTTCATCTTTCCTAGCCCAGTGGTTCTCGAGAAGAATATTTTTAAAAGATGCCATTAATTTTTCACTAATTTGTAATTATCTTCCCTTCCAAGAGAGCATGGCCCTTCATTTGGACAAACTTGAGTCCCCTTTACCCAAGGATACTATGTGCCAAGTATGGTTGAAATTGGCCCAGTAATTCTGGAGAAGAAGATGAAATTGTGAAAAGTTTACAACAACACCGACAGACAACGGACAAATTTCAGGCAGAAAAGCTCACTTGAGCCTTTGGCTCAGGTGACTTAAAACCAATCCAAAGCAGAGATAGTTTTAACATTGCTGCGTTTGAATACTTTTAAGGAAAGATGTATTTCAATTGTTTGAGTAACTGTACACCTTGTGTGCGATGAGGCCTGGATAAGTATGACTGCTTCACATTGTGCTCATGTTAAAGTGACAGTACGGCGCATCTCATCAAAAAACAGACTTGATAAAATTTTTTGATAGGATTTGGAATTTTTTTTACTGCTCATAAATGTATACACTTTCAGAAAATTACAAGTTTCATAATTAAAAAATTTGATTATTTCATTAAAATTAATAATTATTTATGGACCATACATATCTACATCACATGCTATACACGCATGCAGAGTTTTCATAAACAAAACGGCATGGTAAGAGAGGGAAACCTGTACTGTAGGCCTGCTACATTGTCAAGGTTGACCAAGAAGAAAAAGAAACTGAAAACAGAGCTTGAAAAAGCAACTTTTCTGATTAGAATTTAGTTTGGGATTAATATAATCATTGGATGAAGAAGAAACGGGATCTCGGCGACACTCACGCAGGGCTCGTGAAGGTTCTACTCTACAGGTTTGTTGATACATGTTATCGTTTCTCATATCTCCATGGCTTTCAAAGAAAAAAAAATCAGTGTAAACTCAACATAAAAGGGCACCTATGACATATAAACATTGTTGCCATTCGAAGTGCAAATTTTAGTGGAACTGTGCAGAAAATATTTGTTTGACGTTTTGCCGCGATAACATATGATTAGGGTTGGATACCATTAAGCATGAAACGGTATGATACCATACCGGTATTTTTGAAATGATACGGTATTTTTAACGATACGGTACTATGCATTGATGAATGAGAATGGGGTTCATTTTATAACAAATGTGCTTTCACCATTCACTAACCTTTCAATGATATAATCTAAAATGAGCTTATAAACTGTTCCATGCTTTTAAGAGATAACAATAGATATTCCTGATATTCAAATTACAAACATATCATTTCAACCTTTTAATAATGATCAACAAAACAAATCAATTGAATCGCTAACAAATTAATTTGCACAAATCGGCTGACTGCTTCACCCGGTTGCCAGGACCCCTTTTGTTTGGTCGCACTAAATGACGAAACAGTAGATAATGGATAGATCACATTTTTTGCGACATTTTGCCGTTTTAATTAAGATTTATTATCAGTTTTTATTTGTAAAATTAAAATAAGATTGATGTGAATGTATTTTGATTTTTTTCTTAAATATACGTATTGATTTAACTCGAATATCGGCAGTCGAAAGTAAGTATCTTTCTAAGAATCCATTTCGTTACATATAATTAGCCTACCCTTACAAAGAGCGGAGAATTCGATTTTAGCAAGTTTGGAATCGTTTTTTTTAATCAAATTGAATGTATTAAAATATTTTAAAGATTAGAAGTACCTTAATATTAGTACCGGTATTAAATGAAACGGTATTTTACCGGTATTTTTGAAGTAACTATTCGGTACGGTATTGGTACCGAATACCGGTATCCAACCCTACATATGATTTGGTGGTTTTCCTTTCTTGGACCCCAATACACAAATGTCAACAATTGTACTTTTAATTCTGTTAAATTCGTCTGAATGCAGACTAAAATGTTTACGATTATTAATTTATCAGAAAGTTTTATTTTGCTTTTGAGAAATGCTTTTACCTCATATTCCATTACAATTGTAAACTCTACAGTGTAGGCATGTGCCATTTTAGAATTCACATGGTACAAATAAACAGATCTAAGACTGCTCCAGTTTGTACGACCCTTGATTTTCCGGCAGATTCTAATTACATTAATTTTGTATGAGAGAATAAAAATGTTTCTCAAACTGCTGACTTCAACTTTATACCTTATTCCTTAATGATATATTGGGTAAATTTGAATGAAAAAGCACACGTTTTGCAACCAACCAAAACTGGTTTTCTTTGTTATTTCATTCAAGCAGTAACTGTTTGGTCACAAATTAACTGCTGTATATAGCCCCAAAACTTTTAGAACTTTGACTGCAATCACGCAGAAAAAGACACATCTCCAAGAGTGATTTTTTCATGAATTGTTTTCAGATGAGTTCAAAGTTGAAGATAATCACGGCATCAAAGTACATATTTCTGCACTTTCTGGGGAAAAATGCTAAATCTAGTGATTGTAGTACCAGACATGACTAACGAAAACGTCCTTGCGAGCCAGCTATCACCAGTACATGAGTATTTACGACATTCCGTCATGACTTACCTCAGGTATGTTTAATGGTGATCATCAAAATTATTAATTTCCGAGACATACCATTAATTGTGACCAAAACTAGAGACTGGAACTGCCAACATTATGACATAAACTTTCCCTCGTTCCATCAAATATGGCGCCACGGAAATTCAACATAATACACAAATCGAAACTATAGAGGAAATCCGGAAAAAACTACATATCCATTGGAATGCATCTAAGAACCAAATGTATTCTACAGAATGGGAATATGTAACATGACACAAAGTCTATGGCTTTTCCGTAGCAGCTTGCTATCACGATGATCAGTCTGGTCGAACCCCCGAATGGGGGTAAACGGAAATGGGAAATCCATACCCCCAAACGGGGGTATGAGCATGCGCAGATGCTTAATAATGTGCGTATTTCACGCAAAAAGTAGGGGTTTATAAAAATCGCTGGTGCAAAGTAACGGATTATTTGGCAAATGTAAAACCACTCAGAAATGATAGATTAAAGGTGTTTTTAGAATTTGTATTTTACAAAAATACAACTTTATTGTACAAATCGGGATTTATTCACTGGCAAAGTTGGCGATCTTTTGCTTCTTGACATGCAGATATTTAAGATAAAATATTCGATAAACAGACATAAGCAATTAATATTAAATTGAAATTATAAAAAAAAAATGTATTATTCTACCTTATATCTTTTATTTTCATAATAAAATACAAGAAAAAATGGTGCTAATATCGATTTATTTATGATCGTGGGTTTCGGTCCGCGTTTCCTCTGACTAGCAATCGACGGTCTTTATTATCGATAATCATGCCCAGGAAGTGTGACAAAAATACATATAAAAATAAAATTCAAATGAAATCTATCGTATTTATTGTCTTTTATATCTTATAAGAATTAAATAAAATGTTTGGCAACTTGTAGTTTTTTTTTTTTAATGGATACGATTATTTGGGAAAAAACAAGATTATATTTTATTTTATTTAAATCTAGATTCTAAATTAATATTTTCCTAATTCTCAGAATATTTTTCCTTGTGTTTTAAATTCCATAATCTTAATTGAGACGTCCTACAAAATAATAAATAATTTCACGAAATGACGGGAAATATTTCATTATTCCTACAGTATGAATTCAAACTATAGAAAACTTAACCTGTTATTTTTTTTCTGTTGACATTTTACCAAGTTCATAGCAGAAATAACAAAATTATCGATCTTTTTTTTTAAGATAAATGATATAGGCAAGTTTGTTTACTTTGGATACGGCAAGAGTTACTGTTCTTGCGCATTGCATGACGGGACGGAAAACCCTCGTTTGGGGGTATACCCCCGTTCGGGGGTTCGACCAGACTGATGATGTATATGAAGTATACCTAGTATAAATGTACAAGTTCACTCAGTTATTAGTGTATTAAAACTGACAAGTACTGAAAATTGTTGATATTTTAAAAGCTGTTTATAAAATATCGTACATTAAGGAAAGGCCATAGTTTTTCGCTTCCGGTTTTAAATTTTATACACCGACTCTAGACTTCCGGTTATGACTCGGCTTTGGCGCAAAACATTCAGTCTGGTCATTTATCATAAATTTCGTGTGATTATATAAAAATACAAGAATGCCCCGGTCTAAAAAAGGAACGTTCGTGAAAGCTTCGTTCCTCCGGAGACTTGAGGGTCTAAGGAGAGCAAGAGAAGCCCGTGCGTTAAAAGGTAAACAGGGTAAGTGTCTGTATTAATAATTATTGTGTAAGCGTTCTGCTATGGACTGTTGGAATATGTAGCAAAAGATTCAATCATTATTGTGTAAATATTAGATGTTGAAAATGATGGCCTATGCTTGGAGAATGATTCTTCCCCTGTTCTACGAAGTGTTGAGTGTCAAAGTGCAGAAAGTTCATGGCGTGTTGGAAGACGAATTGTTGAACTTGGCACTCTTGTAGATAATCTGAAAAGAGGTTGCGCCATGTGTGGGAATGCACTTCAGCTTGTTAACACTATAGGTGAAAGGAAATTTGGACTAGGGCAGGTATTTATTATTTTTTATAATATTGTCAATGACTTTGTATTTCAAAGATTTGTTTTTAAAGATGTTGTATACCCTTTACATTAATTTTTGACCAAATGCAGGTTCTTCAGATAAAATGCACACATTCCACCTGTGCCCATGTTAATGACATACCCACGGGCAGTAAGCATAGGGTTAAAGCAGATATGAAGCAATATGCTTGGGATGTCAACACAAAACTTGCTGCAGGTATAAATCAAAAATTTTATTTTGTAAATAAGCAGATAAAAATAAATTATTTCCAGTTATACAAAAGTTTACATCTGAAAGAACTATTTTGTTTTCATTTTATTTCTGTGATATCTTAGGTATGCTAAATGGTGGTTATGGAATAACTCATGTAAATGCATTACTGGCTGCACTGAATATCCCAGGGATCACAAACAGGAGTCTAAAAAGCAGAGAAAGAGAGGTTGGGGAACACCTAGAGGAAATGGCACGGCAGAGTTGTAATAAAGTTCTTCAAGAAGAAATGAAACTGTAATTTTATATACCAAATATTGATATTTAAATTTTGCTTTGTATTTACATGTTTTTTGTTAATATTTGCACATTTGTGTTAATTACTTTGTAGGAGTGATGGAGACATCACTGTGTCTTTTGATGGTGCCTGGCAGAAGAGAGGTACTGGTAGAGGATACAATAGTCTTACTGGTATGCCCTGGTGATAATGTTACATGTTTTGATTCTCCCTCCTCAAGAAGGATTGAGATTTCTTATAGAGTAACATATTTTAATACACATACATGTAGTTATGTACTAGCAGTATTTATCTTGTTACAGGTCATGCATCTCTAGTAGGAGAAAAAACTAAAAAGATAGTAAGTTTCTCTTCGAAGAGTAAAAAATGCAGAATCTGCTCAGCTGCATCAGGTAAAGGAGTTCCACCCAGAAAACACAACTGCCGAAGGAATTGGCATGGATCGGCAAAGGCAATGGAGCCAGCCATGGCCTGTGAAATGCTGAGTGCAATCCAAGATGAAGGGTGCAAGGTAACTTTTCATTGAATGTTTGATTCTTATTAGAGCAATGCCAAATATGTCTGTAAAGTTGACTACATTATATATTAAAACTTTGCTGTTTTAATTAAAGTACATATTTCCAATGTATTTTACAGATAGGAACTTTAGTCATGGACAACTATTGCCCATGTAAAAGCCACTGTGGACCCAACCATCAACAAAAGAGCTGACAAAAACCACACAAAAAAAGGTTTCACAGGAGCTTTGATTGAGCTTGCCAATACTCACAAAGTTTTGAAAAATCAAAAACTTAGAGGTCACATTGAAAGGTTTGTGTTTTTGAAGTGTAATATTTCAGTAAAATATCCCTTGATCAACTGTGGTCCAACAAAAACCTTGTTAATTGTAAGTGCGATAGCTAATTAGAAAATAAGTATCTTTTCCTTCTTTGTTTTAGATGTTTTACATATTGTGTACAGCAAAACAGGGGCAAGGCTAAAGAGCTTGAAATTGAACTTGGCAAAATTGTTCCACATTTATATGGTAAGTGTATCAATAAAAAAGTCATTACAAAATTAGGAATGAAGAGTGAAAATATTTTAACTACTTTTTTTTTTGAAGGTGAACACGAATACTGTGGAACTTGGTGCCAGAGTAAAAAGACTGACTATAAACCACGAAATTTGCCGTATGGAAAGCCTCTCTCCTGCACCTTACTTCGAGAAGCTTTAGAAGGTCTATTCAAAAAGTATTGCTGTAAGGCAGAAGAGCTAGCCATGATGGGGTCCACCCAAGTCAATGAGAATTTCAACCATATGGTCTCCACTAAAGCCCCCAAAAGATTGTAAGTACTTTGGTTTATTTCTCTTTGTTTAAAACAAAAATTCTAGGTATAATCTTTTAAATTGAGTCTGAAATATGAGATTCAAATTGCAAAAAAATGTTTTGTTAGGTTTTATGGAGGTTCAGAAAGTCTACATGCTAGACTCTCAGCCACTGTATGTCAAAAGAATATGGGTTATGGTTACATATCAGAGGTAGAAAAATGTGTTAAAAGTTTCAAGTTGATCATTTTTAAATTTGTTTTTCTCTACATTTATTGTTTGTTATGTTTTGTTTTCTTTCTTTTTTATAGCAAACCTAAGAAAGTTATGTTCACATGTGTTTAGTGTCCTAGAAGTTTATTTTGATTTTAATGGTTTTCCACAATAAATATTATAAACTATAAATACATGTAGCTTTTAAAAAAGATGTTTACAATCATGTTTATCTAAATAAACATGTACATAAAGTACATAAAGATATGGATTTACTAAGAAATTCACATTCAAAACTATAATCCCTGTTCTTATTAACCATTTGATTTGAATATGGAACACTCACAAAATTAAAAATTTACTGAAACATGAATTATATTTTACAGTTGAACAAGAAAATGGCATTGTCACCAGGCAATTTCACAATGAAACATACCATTAGACTTGCCAACAAGCTCAAACGGAAGCGTCTGATGCAGAGTTTACCCACCACAAAGAAACGTCGATTGGAATTAAAAGCTGCCAGGTTGTCTAAAGAAGCAGCGAGGAATGTACTAGAAGGTAGTGCTTCAGTTAAAACAGAATTGAATGTAATGTTTTACTTTGATTTATTGTGTATTTTTCACACCTTTAGAGAAGCCATTGCTAGTGGAATTTCAGTATTATTTACTTGAATTTTGTTTGTAACAGGTCAATCATATAAGTCAGATATTGGTCTTGAGGAGGATGTTGATCTTGATGACATTGATCCAGAGCCTCTTAGGATTTCTCCAGAGAGCAGCTGCTTGATGTATTTTGATTTAGAAACTACTGGACTTAGTAAGATTTTTTTTTAGTTTACCTTTTCCCTACTAACAAATATAAATATTCTTTTATTTTCGAGTTTGGTATAAAATATAATTAATAATTTTGCTTTCAGGTAGAACATCTGACATCATACAGATTGCTGCAGTTTGTGAAGATAGGTCAATCAATGTTTATCTCAACCCCAGTGTACCAATCTGTAAAGAAGCATCGGCTGCAACAGGTCTCAGATATGACATGGGACAGCTCACTCTTCATGGAGAGCCTGTGCCTTCAACAGATCAAGTCAGTGGTTTGACCCAGTTTGTAGACTTTACAACAGATTGTGCTTCAAAACCAGTCATTGTGGGCCATAATATTCAAAACTTTGATCTTCCAATTCTTCAATATCACTTGCAGCGACATGGTCTACTTAAACGATTTGATGAAAATGTTTTAGGTTTTTTGGATACATACAAACTTGCACAGAAAGTGTTTGACAAGAAAACAATGGGAAATTTTAAACAAGAAACATTGGTCAGATTGTGTTTAGGGAAAAGTTACGATGCACACAATGCTCTAGCTGATGTTTGTAGTTTACGAGAACTGTACGAGTCAAATTTAGCATTCAAATGTGAATCTTCAGATATATTTAATATGAATTATTATAATGTCAAGTCCTCACTAATTCCATTGATACAAAGCAAAGTAATTTCTACACTGATCTCTAAAAGGCTTACAGCTAACAATCTAAGCTTAAACAAGCTAAAACTCATACATAAGCGTGACCCCCATTGTGGGATTCAGACTGTCTTTAGTGAGGTTGTGTCTGGTTCAAAGACACCAAGAATTACGAAGTCTCAGAAGATCATTGGCAAAGTTGTGGAGTATTTGAACTCTTGTTAGTTCATCATAAGTATTTTCATTCAACAAAATTATTTGTTTATGAGCTATACTTGCTAGAATCTACATGTATGTTTGTTACACTACATTTATTCTCTTTATATGTATTAGATTATAAATTGTTAAGAATGTGTACTTGTATGTAAAAAAAAATTGTGAAAAAAGGAAGGGGTCCCCCCCACCACCACCACCACCACCCTACCCCTTATGTTCTAAGTGTCTAGAAGGACCAAAATTTCAGTATTTTTTAATATTCCATTTGTATTTCATTCTAAGACTGTATTTGTTTGTTACATTTTGATATTTTTCACAGTGTGTAAAATATAACTGTAAAACATGCTATTACCAAAGTGGGGGTAGGGGTATTCGAGATATGATTTAATAAAATATCTCTGGTCTACTGTGATAAAATATGTTTTTTTTTTAACCTTAGATATAATTTTAGATATTTTTAAAGAAAAAATGGCATGTTAACAATATAAATTTTGGGACTTTTGAAAATAATGATATTTTGTGATTTTTTTTTCTGATGGATTTGAGCAGTATAAATGTTAAATGTGCATGTTTTCAATTGAATATCTCGAAAAATTCTCTTTGTAGTTAATTATCTATTAGATTTAATGAATTATAGCACAATACAGTGTGCTTTGGTGCATATTTGAATAAAATATGAAATTATACATCCTTGTGTTAGAATTTGGCTGTTGAAGTTGGGGGTATATGTGCTCTATAGCACATAGTATGAAAATAAGCGTGCAAAGGTATGTGTAATATGGGTTTTTTTGTTGGCTCAAGAGTTGTTCAAGATATTTAAATGAAAAAATAAATTGTTTGACAGAAAATTCTGATAGTATTTACCTACCTTAAACAAAAGTACGACAGTCAGTCACAGATAAAATACCTCCACCGCTGAATGAATTTTTAGCGACATTCAACTTTAGAATTCTTAACACTCCTGCTAATATTGCCGAAATTTAATCCTCATTAAAATTCTGCTTATACGGTATATCATCCTGAACCCCCCCCCCCCCCCCCCCCCCCGAGAATTTTCCTGCAGATTCAACTCGCAGCATATCAAGAATTTATTTTTATTCTTGTTCATATTTGTGCAAAGTGCAAGACGATGTTTTAGGTCATAAACATAAAAATGATAGTAAATTTTATTTCTTCATTTCATCACAGTTCACTTTCCAAAGGAAAAATGCTTCACAATCATATTTCAGTGTTTAATACTTTTAATATACCAGTCAACCAAGGTGAACTTTCAAAAGAAGAATTTTTTTCAAATCATATTTCAGTGTTTAATACTTCTAAGGATATCCGCTCCTCAGTCAAAAAGGATAACTCTTAAAATTATTGTTTAATATTTACATTTCCAAATATTTCCTTAAGATTCTTTGCAAATTAGTAAAAGTCCATGTTCTCATGAACTACCGTGGCATGCACGGATCTAGAGGTGGAGGGTCGGGTCTGGACCCCCCTTGGAATTTGCAAAGTCATTAAAAGTATATACCGAAGCAAGTAAAAAATGACTTTGGACCCCCCCCCTTTTAGAAAAAGTGGACCCCACCACCATCATCACGATATAGGTATTTTCTACTTTTGTAAATGGTATTTTTTTTTTTTTTTTTTTTTTTTTTTTTTTTTGTTGCTTATCAAGGTATTTTCTGGGTTTGATACGTTTGCTTGTCAAGAAATTTCTGGATAAGAAATTTTTTGGGACTGGGATGGACCCCCCTGGAAAAAATTCCTGGATCCGCGCCTGGGTGGGATGATGAAGAAAATCTCCATTGTGATGTGATTGAAGTCAAAAAATAATGCAATTTTTTTTTCTCAAATGATCGTTGAATGACAAAAATATGTGGCAAGTCATCACCAAAATAATGTAAATATAAGATATAAATAAAATTTTAGAAAATTCATGAGTTACATGAACTACAACACTCCACGCCTGCATATTTACGAAGCGCTATTGATATACCAGTCAACGAAGGTGAGTTCGATCTACCCTACCCGTACTGGATTCCTAAACTCATAAAAATCCTTACAAACAAAGATACATTGCTGTGTCCAGCAAATGCTCTACCAAGCCCTTATCTTTATTACAAAAATATTAACTGCTGTAAAAGAGAAACTTCAGACGTACTGTGCTACAGCTTATTCTAGAAGTGGTGTAAATCAGATGTGGATCCTCAAAAACTCGAAAAATCTTTTAGAAACTTTAAAATCATCAAATTTTTCAAAACTTATAACATCAAAACTTACGACTTTTCTACACTTTATACAACAATTCCTCACGATAAATTAGAATTTAGACTTTCTGATATCATAGAAAACCGCTTCTTTAAATAAAAATGGAAAAAGTTTTCGAACAATTAGTGCCCATCGAAATTCCAACAGTTTGAAACTGTTGGAATTTCGATGGGCACTAATTGTTCTCCTTTATTAGCTGACCTGTTTTTACATTCTTATGAAGCAGAATTTATCCCAAAACTTCTACATGAGAAGAGGAAAACACTAGCTGTGGCCTTCAATTCGACATTCAGATATATCGACGATGTTTTATCAATTAACAATAGGTATTTTCATTCGTATGTCGACTCGATATATCGAAGTGAACTTGAAATAGAAGACACCACAGAGTCTGCAACATCCTGTTTCGTATTTAGATATTTTACTGACTATAGACGATAAAGGCCAATTAACAACTAAATTGTATGACAAACGAGATGACTTTAGCTTCTCCATCGTCAACTTTTCTTATTTATGTAGTAATATTCCGCTTTCACCTGCTTACGGTGTGCATGTCTCCCAACTTATTCGCTGCTCAAGAGCTTGCTCTGAGTACGATCAATTTTTAAAGCGAGGCAGGCTTCTCACCAATAAGTTGATGTTACAGGGATTTCAACGGCCTCGTTTTAAGCCAGCATTTCGTAAATTTTAGGGTCTTTATAATGACCTTGTTAGCAAATATAACCTAATTTGGCTGACTTGTTTCATACCAATTGTTAGGCCTTCGTTTTTGTACTGAATTGACTGCAGATAGTTCCATCTTCCGGTGTGACCATTCAACATGCTTACTCCTCCTAGGCACCTGATCCCACCTCTGGAATTTCCAAGGATCCGTGTTTTATGCCCTCTTCACATATTTGTATTGTTTGTGGATTTTTTGATATCGATCACTGTTCGTTATCTTTACCTTTTACATTCTCATTGCTTTAACCTTTAGGGGCCACATTTATATTTAATCTTAATGGACCATACATGCTAATCCACCTCGCCAAAAATAAAATGGAACATGCACCAGTTCTGCAAGACTTATAAAAAGAAATAAACAAATACAGTCATATGTAAAGAGGGAAACACGATAAGGCGTATAAGATAAGCTTTACCGGATAAACGAACTTAAGGATGTGCTGAAAATAAATCAAAACTTTCCAATAAAATCCATCAATCCAATTAGAGGACAGGAAACACATTCACACTGAACAAAAACACTAAATATGGCTATTTCGACAGGCGCTCTGACTTTTTCATATAGATAAATTATCATTAGCCTGTGAACAACAAGAATTTGGTATTCTTTTAATACTTTCAGGCTATCTTGGAATAACACTCTAAACCTGGATATGCTTTATTGCATATACATAAAAAACTATCTATTGGCAAAACACATTCGCAGCAATTATAAGAATCATCATTTGGTCATATATAATATTTTAAAAGTTTTTTATCTTCCAGAATACTAAAAAAAATCAATGAAAAGGGAGATGTGGACGTATACATATTCAGATAATGTACTAGAATTGAATGCATAAGATTTATTAGACCCATAAAACATAAACAACACTTTAAATATTGAAAGACAATTATTAAGTGTGACCTGAAACACAACAGTATTTGGTGATGCAGTCTTGATAAACATTTATAACATTAATAGATATTTTGAACTGGTTCTATAAAGAATAATGGGTAAGATGAATGCATTGGCATAGTTGCAAAGATGTGTGCATTATTTCAACACATGTAAAAAAAAAAAAAAAAAAAATAAAAAACAAACAAACAGAAGCTAGGCCTTACACAACAATTGCTCACTAATGCATTTTACAGTTTTACAGATGATGTAATTAGACAAAGCTGATCAACTTTTTTGAGGAAATAAACAGCATTATAATATTTTTTCAGATAATGACTGACAGAAAATTAATCGAAAATGTATGAAAAATTAGATTAAATGGAAAAATATTCTTAGCTAGTAAAATATGCGACATCTGCAGCTATACATTTTTCGTGACTGAGGAAATATTCTACATAAAACACTATAAAATACATGATCCATGGCGAGAAATAAAAGAAAATCACAAAACTCGCGGGTATTTCTCACATTTGGTTTACAACATCGTTTGTATTCTATAGCGGATTATATACTTTTCCGACAATAGTAATTAAATAGCACCTATTTAAAAACAGATTAGAAGTTTTCCTGTTTTACCAACGACTGTCTCTTCTTGGTTTATATAATATTGGTAAAATTATCAAATACAGTAGAAAGATTTTTAATTAAAAATTGAAGCTTTTTAAAGTTATTGACTAATGATTCTCAAACCGTGCACTGGAAACAACGTAATATTGTCATTGCAAGACAGTTTCTGATGAAAACTTATGAATAAAGAATGGATCAAAATTTCGAATGAAATTGGCAAGGAAACGGAAGCAAATATTTGCATTGTAGCCAACGCTGCACAAAATCGGAAATTGTCATTAAAACATGTCAATGCTTATGCTGCGTGTATTTGAAAAACATTATTCACTGGGTATAGGATTGAAATAATGTTGCTTTTGAGAGAGAAAAAAAAGTTAATTAAAGACAAGAATTACACTGTATGAATCTATTCGTATTATGTCTTTAACCAGTATTGTGAGTCCGTGACTACACAGGCCCGTAGCAAAGCTTTCAAAAAAAGGGGGGGGGGACAACTTCCCAAAGAAGTATGACACACAAAAAACAAACAAACAAACAAACAAACAAAAACCTAAACTGACCAAAAAGTGGAGGGGGCAACTTCGAAAAATAATCTGACAAGCAAAATAAATAAATACATAAATAATTAAACAGAAAATTA